CCTGAAATCACACTGTCTGTCTGTTAGATGTCTGAATGTCTGTCGTCCGCAAAATCTTGTCCGAAACTTCTCCTAAAGTTGTGCAGTGACTTCAAAGAAAACTACAGATATTCATAACTACCCCCTGACTTTGTGCATCCAGGTATGATTTTTTTATTCTGACCCTTTTAATGGAGTTATGGCCCTTTGATAAAAAAAATCCTTGTGCGGACAACTTCTCCTAAACTACTGGGCCAATTTCACCCAGAGTTTACAAGTAAGGAAACTATCCCCTGATGTTGTGCATCCATTTAGTATATTTTCATTCCAATAGATTGACTTCATATTGAAGTTGTGCACCTTGGTATAATTTATTCATTTTGTTTTCATTTCAACCCTTTTTTATGGAGGACAGATATTCCCTTTATGCTAATTGTAGGATGCAGGGGATATCTTAGTTTGCCTCTGGATAACGGTTCTAGTTGATCCTCACCTGAACAATAGTTGTTAGTTGGACCTCATTTTCAGCTGAAATAAAAGTAAGATACGTCATGTTGAGTGATCATCAGTTGTCCTACCAAGAAACCACTAGTAAATCTAATTTTTAAATTACCCTGAGACGACGAATAAATCTCATTTCAGATTACCCAGAATGCACACTCAAATCTCATTACTAATCTCCCAGAAACTAGCAACAAATCTCATTTCAAATTACCCAGAAACAATCAGTAATTCTCATTTCAAACCTTTCAGATTACCAAGAAACTACCTGTAAAACTCATTTCAAATTTCCCAGAAACTACCAGTAAAATGCATCTCAAATCACCCAGAAACCACCAGTAATTCTGATCTCAAATTACCCAGAAACCACCAGTAAAACTCATCTCAAATTACCCAGAAACCACGATTAAAACTCATTTCAAATTACCCAGAAACCACCAGTAATTCTCATTTCAAATCTTCCAGAAACCACCATAAATTTTCATCTCAAATTACCAAGAAACAGGCACTAAATCTCATTTTAAATTACCCAGAAAGCACCGGCAAATTAAATCTCATTGATCTGACACTATGTTGCCCTATAGGGTCAGGAGGCAGAACATGTGGCCAGTTTATGTGACTCGATCAATGCAACAACCTACCATACTTACAGCCCTGGTGATCAGGTGTCAAACCCCAACAGTAATTCTCATTTTCAATTGTGAAGGTCAAGGTCAGTTCATTTTCAATCACCCACGCTAATTAGCATACCACGACGTGCCTCTGCACCACCGCTGGTATAGGTCACTGTCTCCGGTCTATGGAGTGAAGATGTTCGGGAAAACTGTTTGTTGTTCCTGTAAGACATGATCCTTAGTCATCCTGGCTTATCAAAATACCATCACATGCTTTTAGGTGCTTGGGAATTTCTTGGTTTGTTTTAAGCTCACCTGGTCCAAAGTACCATGGTGAGCTTATGCCATACCGCAGCTTCCGTCATCAGTCCGTCAACTTTACCTTTAAAACGCTACTAGTCATGAACGACTGAGCAGATTTTGACCAAATTTGGTCAAAAGCATCCTTGGGGGAAGGGAAACAAATTTTGTATAAGTGGTGGGTCTGGCCCCACTGGGGGCTGAGGGGCAGGGCCCAATAGGGGAAATATAACAAATTCTTTAAAATTCCTCTTCTTCTGTAGAAATGAAAGGATTTGTTCCATTTTTGGTCTGAAGCATTCTTGGGTGAAGGGGAACCAATTTTGTATAAACCGTAGGTCTGGCCCCCCTGGGGGCTGAGGGGCGGGTCCAAACAGGGGAAATATAACAAATTCATTAAAATCCCTCTTCTTCTGTAGGAATGGAAGGATTTGTTCCATATTTGGTCTGAAGCAACCTTGGGTGAAGGGGAACCAATTCTGTATAAACCATGGGTGTGGCCCCCCAGGGGCCTGGGGGCGGGGCCCAATAGGGGAAACATAGCAAATTATTCTTTAAATTCTTCATCTGTAGGAATGAAAGGATTTGGTCCATATTTGGTGTGGAGCGTCCTTGGGTAAAGGAGAACCAATTTTGTATAAACGGTGTGTCTGACCCCTCTGGAGGCAGAGAGGCGGGCCCAATAGGGGAAATAGAGATAAAACCTTTAAGATCCTTCTTCTACCATAGAGATTTAGGGATTTTATCCCAATTTAGTCTGGACCGTCAATGGGCCAAAGGTACTCAATTTTGTATAAGCATGCAGTGGGTTTGGTCTCCCAAGGGGCAGAAGGGTAGGGCCCAATAGGAGAAATAGAGGTAAAACCTTTAAAATCCTTCTGATGGGATTTTATCCTTATTTAGTCTGGAGCATCCTTGGTTCTAGGGGACTCAATTTTGTATAATTGGTGGGTATGACCCCCCTAGGTTGCATATAGGGGTGGGTCTCTGTTTGAAGTTTGTTCTCGCTATATCTCAAGTACTGGATGGATCTTTCTGAAATTTCATATGTACTTAAAGAACCTACTTCATACCAATTATTTAAAACATATTCAGGTGAGCGATTCAGGCCCTCTGGGCCTCTTGTTGTTAAATTTCCTTTACTTTTTAATGCATGGAAATCTATTAGACCTGAAAATGCATTCATTGGAAGTCTTGTGATAGTTTACTCATTCACCCCTGAAATTTCATGATGAACTATTCCAACTTTGAATTGGAAGAGTTTATATGTGATTTCAGGGGTGAAAGAGTTAGTGTCAAGAAAACAAATTCAGATCATGATCACTAGATTTATCTTAACTTCATAAATGAACAACTCTGCACTGACTGGTCAAACCATTCAAGAAAGGATAAATGGAAGCAGCACTTGTAATCTTTGATCGGCCATGTTTGTATGTTGTTGCTATGTCGCCGGTAACTAGCCGCCTCTTGCTCTCCCTCCTACATATGTGTTCTCCTTCTCGGTGCAAGTTAGATAGATGCTAGCTATCTGTTTCATCTTTCAATAATTAATTAGTTTATATCAATAGAAAATCATAGATTTACATGTATAATGAAGATAATTTTTTTTAAATGAATGAAAATGCAAGATTTACAGTTTTAATAACTTCGACTTAAAATATGAATTATTTTTATTTAGTTTAATTGTATTCATTGTTATAATATTCACCCATAAGGGTGGTCGGGTGATGCAGTGGATAGCGCGATTGCCTTTCACCAAGGCGGCGGGGTTTTAGTTCCCTGATCGTACATGAAAAGGTTTGGGATCACCTGCCCGACCATGCGGGTTTCTCCGGGCACTCGGGTTTCCTCCAACATTCATAACAAGTTATTTCAACTTATATTAATCACTCTTGTTGGCCTGGATGCTAGTATGAGGGGGGTCTTAATGTGGGAGGAAACCGGAGTACCTGAAGAAAACCCACGTGGTCGGGCAGGTGACCCAATACCTTTTCATGTTCCATCGGGGAATCAAACCCTGGCCACCTTGGTGAAAGGCCAGGGCCTTATCCACCGTGTCATCGACCACCCTCTGTTAGTAGAGCATGTTATAGATATCCCAGCTGGTTTTGAAATCTTTACTTGGTGAATCTTAGGACAGACATCACATCTGGTTGTGTTATATTAGGTTGTGTTATACTATCTAAACTTATTGCAAAATCATTCTGTCACAATACAATTGCTGGCTATGAAATTTCATTGAAATCAAAGCAACAATAAATAATACAATGCACAATTTTACATTTTTTTTTTAAATATTTTAAACTACATGTCATTGTTTAATTCTTAAAATCTTGATATTAATATCTCACAAGAATTCATCGAAATTTAAAATATAATTTTACTTTTATTTTATTTTTAGACCATGGAAAATGAGACTGATAATAATTGACATATGAAAGAATGACAGAGAACTGGTCACTGGAAAAACTGGACAAAAATCACAAGTTGACCGGTCGACAAAGCCAGCTCAGTAATGACCAGAGGATTACAAGTGACCAGATGCTACAAGCATTTCTGTGATATTACTTCGGGACCGGCAACCAACTTGTTGAACTCCTGTTAAGATCAGTGTGGCTGGAGGATCGGAAGTCAAAGGTTTCATCTGCTTCAAACCTGGAAGTCCACCCATGATCACCGCACATAAATCTCTGATTTAACTCATTCACCCCTGAAGACACATTTGAACTCTTCCAATTCAAATGATGGAATAGTTCATTATGAAATTTCAGGGGTGAATGAGTGAAAGTGCAAATACTACATAAAAAAAAACTTTGACCAGGCCCAGTCACGTCTGTGAGGGTGATTGGGTCTTTTATAATTTCAACTCCTCCTGAAAAAAGGGAAAGAGGTGCTACTTACAGCAAATACATTAGATATATTCTCTTAAACAACTTTTTCTCACAAACAGAGAATTAATGATGCGATATACCAACAAAACCTCACCTTACACATATGACATTTCATTGCCAAAAATACTTACTTACCATAAATGTCATATGCGACCTGCCACAATCAGTAAAACTTATCAAACCTAAACATTGCATGTCCCTTATGATATTTTGAGATTGCTTTTAACCCATTCACCCCTGAAAATTCATAATGGACTATTCCAATCTTCAAATTGGAAGAGTTCAAATGTGTCCTCAGGGGTGAATGAGTTCATTTGAGAAATTGGCTTTGATACCAAGATTTACCTGTACTTGGTAGAATGTACTGTCCTTAGGGACATCGTTTCTAAATATTGGCTCCCTAACCTGTCAAAATCATCCAAAACTGGTTTATTATTATCATAGAACAGGATGTTTTACATGCAATGTGCTTTGTTTTCTTATCACTATTAAAATATTTTTAAATGCAGCCAAGCATTTTTCATTATCCACTTTTTTGAAGAGAAAGGTGTCTTACTGTGTAATGTTACAGCCATTAATTAATACATTTAACTCATTCCCCCCTGAAATTTTATAATGAACTATTCCAACCTTTGAATTAGAAGATTTCAAATGTGTCTTCAGTGGTGAATGAGTTAAAGCTATATATTGCACAGACAGATTGCGATAAATTACAATAAGTTTGTTTTGTAACACATTGTATCATAAAAACATGAATTTAAGCATAAGCTACCCTACATGCTCACAACATTTTACCCAAAATGGCACTCTTCAGACAATTATTGATGTAATTTATACCATAACATAAGTATTTGTCCATTTTTTTCATAAAAAGATATCATCCATTTTTATTTCTGATTACAAGTTGATGTTTCCGGCTCTTGATCCTATAATTAGGAGGCAAAATACTATTTGGGTCTATTCGTCTGCTGGATAACCGAAATACTCGGTAGTGAAGCGGACGTAAAACCTATCAATCAATCAATCTATTTTGGGTCATGTAGGCTCTTCAACAGGTGAAACTGTACGCTGAAAGGGACCTTTGATATTTCGTCTAGTTTTGGAGGATAATAAATATAATCAGAAAATGACACATACATGTAGTTCAAACATTGTTGAGTCAAATGAGGTTCTTATCAAATTTTTATTCCAAAAGTTGGAGAAGTTTTTCGAAAAAATAAGTTTCTGGAATGAATGATATCCAAATAGATAATATCACATCGCATGTGAATTAAGAAATTTATCTTATCAAAAATATTTCTAAACTGGAAATGTCTGTGTCACTATAATTAACAGTCACTAAAGTTGTTGATATACAGTTGAATTAACATAAAAGTATCTTGTAATGAAAATTTATAATACATAACAATATTTATTTGAATTACATGTCAATTTCCTGGCACATTTTCTCACAAGTGTCCTGTTTTGGGTACACTGACATTTTGACATTCTACTAAACCTCCTTTTATATATGTAGCCATATCATACAGCGTGAACTTGATGACCAAAGTAAACTATATAATATTTGTAATACATTTTATGGGAAATTATTTCTCGTAATTAATGAACTTGACCATTTTGATACAACTTGTTGTAAAATCAAAAATTTAAATAAAATATACATGATTTTATTCATTGTTGTAACAGATCCTTTTAAATGTGTTGTGAGGGTTAATATTACATTTAATAACAATATTTTTGAAGTAAAAGCCCACCTCCGATGTCTATTTAAAGACATTAGATATACAAACTTTGTGATGAATGTTATGCAAATCGTGATGCTGATTCCACGTGTACTTTTTTCAGACATGTTCCCCCTGAAACATACAGATTATTTTGACCTCAGCGAAAGCGTTGGTGATGTTTTTTAGAATGTTTAAATGTTTCAAATGTTGTACATATTAAAACAATTCAATGTTACCTGCCATATCAAGTATCATTCCTTCATTATTCACTTTCAGCAATTATCACGCATCGGTTGATATTTTGTTCATATTTTTACCTTTTCTGTTCATTTATGTCTGGCCGCAACGAAGTAGGGGAAGCGAGACTAAGGTGTTGCTTTCTTAGCTAGACTTAGTTTCAATTTAATCAGATTTGTAATTATGGCATACTAATATCGGTAATGTACTTTTAGTGATTGACAAAATGTATCGGTATCACACTTATATGATGTATTTAATGAAACGGTGCCATAATACTGTATACCAGGAAATGTTTGCCTTCCCCAGTGAAATCCATATTCCCCCAGTGAAAAAAATAAACTGCAGTAAAAATTTTGCGGTATTCAGTAATTGAACTACAGTCACGCTTGTGTTTAACAAAGTCAATCGTGCAAGGAACAGGAAAAATGATAGATTTATGGCCAATGTACAGTGGTACAAGAACAGTGAAATATAATGACGAACTATTACTGTTTTGTACAGCCCTGTGCTAAAAAGGTGGCTATTAATTCAGGTTTTATTGTGAAGCTTCACAGAAAAGAATTAATTGTACCTACAGAATGACATATCTTGATTTAAGTTTTAACCCTTTCAACCTTAGGTAACATTAGTAAACTCTATCATAAAATTATCTGGATGAGTCCATTATGGTGTACAGTGGTGAAAGGGTTAATGTACTGGCTTATTTTTGCTTGGATTACTCGGGTCGTAAATAGATTATTTTTTTTTTTTTCATATACATGAATTTATTGCTTTAAGTCGGACTAAAACAACCTGTTGTGTTGACTTTACATGGAATATTCATATTGGACAGTTGCATTTTACCCCTAGATAAGCCCATCTGTTTATTGTTCAGATATGTCGAGTACAGTATATATGCCCTGGGATGTAACAACTCTTTCACCAGTAACACTGTCCGATGATCACTTTTCCTTAAACAATAGATTTTTTTATTTCATTTGGCATGACAGGCTTCTTATGTCTCTGATATCAAGCAAGGCTAAACAGGCAACATATTTTTTTCTTAAAAACTGTAGATGTCGGATCAATACTAATTGGAGAAGGGTGTATGTAGTGCAAGGAAGTGTTATCTCGCCAACACTGTTCAACATGTACAAGTTCAAGATGTACAAAACAAACATGGCAAATATAGTAGATTACTACTCACTAGCTAACATTATCAAGCCTATTACTGCCATCTTCATGTGATTATTTTAATTTCTTAGTTACAACATAATGGTGCAATTACAATCAATAGAATAAGGGGAGATAATAACATTATTATGTAGCAGAATTGGACTGAGTAGATCGCCAGCAGACCAGGTAGCTCAATTGGTTATAGCGTCCGTCTAGAGTTCAGAGTTCGACCCCCGGTCTGGCCATTGCATTTCTCTTTTCCCAGTTACAAATTTGGCATCCAAATAAGGGGAGATAATAATATATTAGTTATAGGTGTAGCGACACTAAATTATTTACTATTTAGTGTTATTTGGTTTGAAAGGTTTTACATAAATAGATTGTGACACATCTGTAATCAATATGGTAATTCAGAGGTCAACAGGTCAAAGTTGTCAGCATCATAAATAAGAAATTATTTTCTACCTGCCTAATGTGATGTCCCACCTCATCTATATGTTGATTGATGACATTCCATCGACGAAATTCAAATTTTACAAATTATGGAGAAAATTCATTTGTTATTGTCTGTGTGTCTAGATGTATACCAGACTGATGTACATGTATAAATTTTATTTTATGAAATAAAATTGTTCAAATTTCGTCATTTTCGTATTTTTTATTTATTCCATTCAGTTTATACATTATTCTGTTTAGATTTAAATTTTAAATTGCCAGATTGAAAAGATCTTCACTATCATGTATTATTTTGAAACCTGACGTTAAGGACATTGTATGAATTCATATTTCTGTCGTCGGCACCAAAAGAGTGTGTTTCTCTGTATTTCAGGTAGAGAGCCTCAGCACTTTGTGTGCATCTCCAATGAAGACAGTTCAAAAAACAACATTTTTCTGACCTCAAATTCTGAGGCCTGTATACAGTAGAAAAGTGATGAGAAACTGATGGTGCCATAACAATGTATCACAGTATTTTACAAAAACTTATTTTTATGTTCAACTTATAGATTGCTACAATTGATTCAGTTGGATAATATCTTGATGACCATTTCTACTTAAATTGAGCATCTTTGCCCAATGACAATATATCTGGGTCCACTTGTATAACACATCTCAACTCTTGAGATTTCCTCAAGTCTAAAATTTCCCATAGACAATACATTGCTTGAGATTTTCCTTAACTTTGAGATGTTTTATACAATTGGGCCCAGAATACGTAACCAAAAACATTCTTTCGGAATTCAGTACTCAAGACGTACGTATTGTAACACCCCAACACTCTACCTTGATTGACAGACATTTTCTTTAAGATTCTTTCTTACTGTTTAATAATCATAAAATATGGTACTAACTGGTACATCCAATACAAATTTACTTCTCTTTCGGGTGAAATGTCCAAATGCTTTGGCAAATTGAAATTTTCACAAATCAGGGGAAGTGTTGCTCATGTGACGATCATTCGGTTCCCTTCATCCATATTATCCCATATTGGCAGAATCACTTTTTTCATTCACTTTCAAGAAAACTTTAAAGCAAGTACTAAATACACAAATACAATGCTCCTTCAACAAGTTCAAGGCAACAGGGTCAAGGTCACTTATTATAAATACCTGTTGTATTTGAAAAATATTTGCAGCTCTCCCAACTATTATGGCATTCTGATTTAAAAAGAAATTCAACCCAGTTGCGCTTCACGATCACGGAACCAATGTGAAGGTCGCTGTAACGTACTTCGAATATCTTATCTTCACTTGACTTGATTTGTTTTTGCCTCTGGTCCAGACAAAAATTATAGATAATTCAGAACGTAATTTGCCTGCCTTCACTTCTTTGTGAACAAGGCAATCCGAAGTACCCCACTGGTAATGTCATACTTCTTGTACTCCGCTCTCTGCCAGCCAAGAAATACTGGCATACCAAATCTGGTTACTCCAGACGGAATTCATATGGAAAATATGCTCCAGGCAATTTTTTGAAAGGCATAAGGTCAAACCATAGGTCATAGTGAACTTCTTTATGTACATGACACTCCGCCACTGATGGGGAACTAGTAAACACACTTTACTGAAAAGAATTGAATCGCACAAAAACGTAACTCATATCAATAATATATTGATTGAGGTCCATCAGCTCACACAATGTCGAAAAACAAAAACACAAGTCCAAATATTTTTCTATATGTAGCATTTTATTTCTAAAATACTCCTGCTATCATTCTGATACTATCTCCCTTGGAAAATCTACAGCAAATTGTTCCACTAACAGATACACCAGTCAATGTACAAAGATACAAAAATATCACATGTATGTATTTCTCATTACAGATCAATTATCTGTACATAAAAGTGATATGGACACAGGTTTTGTTAAACAGCTTATTTACCGACATCACCAGGTTGTAATGTCAGGAATGAGGTACTATGGATAAAGCTGAATTGAGAATTTGTAAAATAAAAAGTATAAAGCAATAATAAACAGACATCGAAAACTTGTAATCTCGTGGGGAAACAAAAAACTTTTCTGAATAAAATTTTCACTTTTTTATTTTAATTATTTCAATAAGAAATTTGGCATTAGTACTATTCCGCCTTTGCGTATTGCAGAGTTATCTTTTCTTGTGAGCAGGTATTGATTGTTACGTCATTGGTATGTGTAATTTTCTCAAAAATTGATGACGTTACTCTCACAAACCAATGACGTAACAATCAATACCTGCTCACAAGAGAAGATAACTCTGCAATACGCAAAGACGGAATAACATCTTTTTCGATTATCTTAAGTCGGATTGACCAGGATCAACGTTCATGTATGAAAATAATGTTCATTCTTCTCTAGGCTCAAATTCTATTGGTAATTCATAGAGAAAGGTGGAACATACAAATTTATCAATTCTGTAGGAAAGTGATGCAAAAATTATTTTTTTTTACTATATGTGTAACTGCTAAACCAGATTTTTTACAAAATTTATATAATCATATTACATCTTAAGAAATAAAAGTGGCAATGAACTACATGACATTGTATGGTAAAGTAATTTAAGTTCATCAGATAAATATTTCTTCACCCGACAAGAAATACAGGAACTATAATTTTGCTATAACAGATTGGTCTCTGAACCCTTTCACCCCTATGTTACTTTAAAAAAACTCTACCATAAAATGATCTGGATGAGTCCATTATGGTCTACAGTGTTGAAAGAGTAAGAATCAAAACATAAATCAAAACAAATATAAGGAACATTAAACCTGTCGCATGCATAACACCCTTTAATCGGGTGATATATCCCATGTTTTCATTTTATTAATAAAAACGCTTTTAAAATTCATTTTATTTATATTAAAGCTCTTTCTAAAATCAACCATCAATTAGAATCTACCAAATTATAAATCTAAGTTGTATTTACTACTTGGCTTACAATAAAAAAAAACATGAAATTGCCACAATTATTTGAGACATTTTATAAAAAATTAATATAATCTGTTATGTGTTAACTATAAGGATATTTTTTTAAGTTTAAATATTTATATTTGAATTATTAATAATTTCATTTCTTTGATGAGAGAATTTATTATTTTTGTTTTAATTCAGAATAATTATATTTTGATTACTAATAATTTCTTTACTTTAATGAGAAAATTTATTTAAAAAAATATGTTATTAAGTATCTAAGCACAATAATGAATCGTTGCATGAGAAGGAGACAGTCTAGAATCCGACTAAGTTTATAAGTAACAATAAAATATCTAATTTGCAATGAAATCCATACAAATTTGGCCTACCTACATGACGTTATGTGTAATTAATATATATATGAGTTAATATATAATGTACCATTCTATTTGTACAACGTGAATAAGTTACAATAAGGTTATATAAATAACAAGTCTATATTTTGTGACATAGAATTAAAATTTCCTATAAAATTTGCTCCAACACTACCAAACAAAATCTGTGTCTCACAATGCAATCAAATGAAGTAAAAAAAAAGATGCCCTCTGATTGGTTCAATTTGAACCAATCACCAATTTGAATTAACATATTTCGTAAAATGGTGGTTTATCACAATTCTTTCCTAAGAAACGATAATCATCTTTCGACAACTGTTTAATTTTCTTAAATTTTCAATTTCCATATCTTTTGTTCTATACATACTAAACTGTTACATTACATGTAATTCATGAAATTTGAAATAGTGATTTTATTTTTATAATCGAAAAATAAGGGTCAATGTAGGATAAAATCATCTATAACTGCATATTCCCATGCTGGCTTTTATCCATGAATACATAATGAGGATGTGATATATAAATGTATGCCGCCAATAGGATTGTAATTTACACAAGATTTCTACAGAGGCAAGTTCAACATCCAAAATAACTAACCGCATCGGACATAAATGAAATATTGGACGGATTAAAATATATATAAAATTGATGTTTTTAACGAGTGTGAGGTGTGATTATAGCACTTAATTAAAATTTCGTCTCGTCACAAGGTAATTAATTTATCACATTAACATACAACACAATTATCAGAGATATAGTAACAAGGATTTAAAATCAGACATCATGCATCTTTAGAGTTTTCTGTTTATTATTCAGTCAAACTTTCAATGACATATCTTTAAAGAGCCAATCAAAAACAAATAAGAGAATGAACAAAATTTGCTTATCAACTACGTGCTGAAGCCAATAAATTTATAAATCAAAAGTTTTTAACGCTAAACTTTATACTTCAAATACCATACTTGCCAACCTTTTGAAATTTCTATGGGAAGCGTCTACATGCTCAAAATTACAAAAAAATAAAATAAAAAATGTTTGTATATACCCCCAAAAGGGTAAAAATAATACTTTAGAATGGCATCTTTAAGTTTTGAATGAAAAACTGTAGTTTAGCAAAATAACTGGTTGAAATTTTTCAAAATTAGGGTCTAAAATCGGGAGTCTAATCCTCAAAAATAGAGAGAGTTGGCAAGTATGATATACACAAATATTTAAAATAATTTCATTTATACCCAGAAAACCCTAATGGAGCAAAAATACCTTAAATTAAATCCAATATGATAAACATTAGGACTTGGATGGATGGAAGGGCGAGTGTTTTTCTGAGGAAAATAACGTTATAAAGCTCTGAAAATTTACTGTAAGGCCACCATGAATCATGTAACAGAATTTATATGTATCTTACACTTCATCTAAAGGTGCAGCATTTATATACAGTGATAGGAACATCAAGGTTATAAACTTAACATTTCATCAAAGAAGTGTTGCATTAATATAGTGAGAAAAAAACACGAATATTTCCAACTCGCCATGCCCAGGAAAAAGGTTTGGAGTCAACCAAGTATATAAGCAGGGATAATCCTGGAGGGGGTCATGGGGTCATGGGGCCATTGACCCCTCAAAACTGAAAGTGACCCTTCCATGTTCCAATTATTGACTAAAGATTGCTGAAAATGGTCCACTCCTCTCAAATTCCCGAATTTTCCCTGTAATATAGTTTTGAAAGGAATACTAATAATTATAGGCAACAATGACTCGGAACAAACTATATTTTGCGTTCAGAGGATAATTTGGCTCACCCACAAGTAATCTGGATTTCTTTATTTCTTTTCCAGGTTCATGGCAAAATGATCGCTAGAGTTTATATGTAGGCATTTTTATGAGCCAATCATGGTTCTTGTCACTTATACCACATACTCGAGATTCCATTGGTTACTTTTACCTGCATTCTCTGCACTCCTGGAATATAGCATGACAATATGGAAGGCTCCGACATGTACGGTGCACCCCCTTGTTGACGACACAAATAGACTAGTTTGATTCTTTGATGAACCTCAAAAAATTGTTCCGTAGCGTAACTGTAAAATCAACAGGCTATGAAAGTGGTGTCGCTTCTCTGTAATCCTCAAAGGACAAGTATCAGCCTAACGATTGGCCGAGTTTTAGCCTGAAACCAATCAAATAGCTAACTACGTGCCGTTCAATTTTGTCACGACATATTCAAGGGGTGCAAAGAACGTAAGTGAACGTTACCCCTGGATTTTCGAGGATGCATACACAAGTACTTATATAAAAAAAAAAATGTTTTATCGTTGTAATCTATAACATTTAAATGTTTCAAATTTCCTTTAAAACCACACCACAGTCTAGGTAATACAAAACAGATGTAACACGGCAGAAAACAACTATCACAGGATAAAAATGAGATCACTAGATACCCCCCACGATGGGATAAATCCTATTTAGAGTTACATACAAGAACAAAAATATAAAATTTGTCTGGTAAGCCTTATTTTTCTTGTGTTTTATCAAATCATAAATAATCAACATGAAACAAAAAGATGCCCCAAAATCGTGTGTGAACCAAAAATTCAATATTTGATCAACTGACTCCTGAAAGGCAAAATGAGCAGGCAATATTATTTTTTAATACCTTACTGCTCGAAACGCTATCACAGGTGAATGTATACAAAAAAACGGTGATATTTTACAATTTTTCAAAACATGTAAAGGAGACATTTTTTTTCAGGTTGTAATAATTTACAAATCGTCATTGTATGTTTAATCTCCTTTGTTTTTCAGTACCCATGATAAAATAATAAACAATTCAGTACCCATGATAAAATAATAAACAAATCTGACATCAGCGTTTATATAACATATCTACAAACTGGTCTTGACATGCAGACAAATTTGAACGGACATAAAAAAGAAGAAAAAAATTCTCTTGAAAGATACAAGCATAAATAGATGGGAAATGGCACCACACAAACTAGTATGAAAATGGAAAATGTATTACAATTTAGTAGACATTTTATTAAGTGCTAGCTAAACAACAGTGTAACGTATTTACTTAACAGTATCACAGATGTAATATATAAATAGTACAGGTGGCAACGGGACTCGCGTCAAATTTTTCAAGAAGAAATAGTCGGTTAAAATTTCTTCAAAACAAATTTTAATTTAGCAAAATTTACAAATCAGAGAAATAAATATTTTTATATACAGGTATTTCTGCCAAACCACAAACAGATGATATGCCTGTTGAAATGCATACCAGCTGATCTGATTTCAAATGAATCGGTGAAATATTAGCGGGACACGGGGCAGTACCTGAGGTCAAAAGGCATAAATATGTAATATCAAGAAACATAGGATCACAGCCGAGTGCAGCATAAAAGATGGCCAATCACATCCCTGTGTGGTCACTATCGACGTTACCACGGTAACGCCACAAACGTTCAAAAGATCAACCACAAGTCACGAGAATCAAACGACAACCGTCCAAAAGATCAACCCGACAAGGATCAAGAAACAAACTTAATTATAAGTCAAATTTTCAATGGTAAATAACATAAATAATATTTAAATAAAATATTCCTCTTGGAAATTAGACCAAATACTTATATTAATATGGCACCAACACTCAAATGACTTAAATCTAAGTTGTTTTATGATTATGGGGACAGATATCAAGAATAAATTTCAAACTTGCCAAAACTGTGTTCATAGTTCCTGTAGACGTCAGGGTCAAGATTTACGGAACTGGTTATCATGAAAAAAAAGTGTTAAAACCTCCTTAGCATGGACTTGATAATCTAATGGCTATTCCAGAACAAATTGTTCAGAATGAAGGAGCAGAAAAATTAGCAAGTCATTCTGAGAAGAATTTGGGCAGCAAATTTTCGATAGAACAAGATGTACAGGGTGAGGGTGGGAAGCAATTTAGCACGGTTAATGATTAAAACTTTTAAAAGTTGTTATCCTGAAGTGTTTTTTAAAGGATTGTTGATCTGAGCTATTCTACCTGAAGAGATTTGAAGAACCTAACTGTTAGAGACGAATGGTATAAGAGCATGCATGGTACAGTCTGAATATAATAGACAGGTACACATTGAAATGATATGAGTTAAATTGTTAACATTTATTAAACAACCTTAACATCACATATGGAATGATTTTAAGTGAAAAATAAAAAAACAAACAAAAAAAAATGACAATTTAAAACGATTTTCTTGAGAGCTAAGACAACATATACAAACATATAAATATTGGATAATTCTACAGACGTACATTACGTAAATGGACGGATTCACAACCTGGACGAGAGTAAAAATTGTTATATACGATGGACTTTAAATGTTAAAATATAAATGTATAATTAATAGACATGTATAAATAAATATTTAAACAAGACATGTACTAACTCTATCAGGTAACGTAACAGGGGTACTGCATGGACGGAAATTAAAATAAAAAATGCAAGACCTCAAAATCAGTAAATTGTGAAATACTCGTTTCTGGGAATGTGCTGCACAAAACTATTTTGTAAGATTTTAAATTTACGAAAAAGAACAATAACTATACGGTATAAACAAATATTCGTAATCCATCCTTGTGGATTTGTGCGCGAAATAAGTGTCTCGCAAAATGTAGCACAGTACAAGCCAGACGAACTTAAAGCTCCAATTCACAAAATGCCATTATGAGGATTTTTATCACTTCTCCCCTTAAATGATTAATATGCAAACATTGTGTACAGTGTACAGGTGTAGGAAAGAACAAGATAGAAGTATATGTTCTACCGGAGAAGACGTTATAATTAAAAGTTCAATTTATGTTATTGGGCTGCAAGGATATGTTCGACGATACATCGCGGTATTTTGAATACGGTAAGATACACCAATATTTTTTTGGGAGGGTGCGATACATATACAATATTTTCTGGATTTTGTCAGAGTTTCTGAATCTAGTCTACTCATATCGGTTCCAACATGGCGGGTGACAGCTACAGCTCGGCATGCACGTCGAAAGACGTGAATTGCGTGAAACTTTAAAGTCATGCCCATTTTGGACCAAGTCTATTTGTAGTTGTAATATTGCCATTAAAAAACTTGCAACATATCTTTTCTCTTTTCTTCTACTGTTACTATACGTATTGTGATATGTATCGTATCGTCATGGTGATGAATCGTTGCAGCCTTAAATATGTTGCATGGCAATGTTATAAGCCGAACCGATTATGACCAATACTTATTTATTTATCGAAATAAAATACCCAGTGTGTATTAAACTCAACAATATTCCGTCATTATAAGTTGCTCGAATTTGTGGCCAGTGCTATTGTATTTATCAGAATAACCCTTTCACCACTGTAGACCATAATGGACTCATCCATATCAATGCATGGTAGAGTCTACTAAAGTTACATAGGGGTCAAAGGGATAAGGTATGTTTTATACCAAACAGTCTCCCTGTCTCAGAAATATGCATACCCTATATACAAACACAGATATGTGATGCAAGCAGGTTGGCAATGTCACGAATTCTCTGTTAATGGATCACGAAGAATAATGATTAAACAATTTACTGGTAAACTGGCACTTAATAAATATGCAGGATTTCCTTTTTCGACATCCTGCAAACAAGCATTCAAAATCAGTTTAATAAGTATATTTTTCACACACATCACAAAAAATAGTGGTCAAAATATTAATTTTTGAATTAAATTTTAAAAAAAGTCCAGGAGGTTTAAACTCCCTGACAAATAGTACACATCAAAAAGATTGCAAGTCTTTTGATCAGTTCACATCACAGAACAAGCAGAAAAGTAGATTATTGCTCTCATAGAAGCTCGTAATTTGTAAAAGCAGTTAAACTTACATCACAAGACCATCCAGCATTCTCCAAGTTACCCTCGAAAGCCTCTAGTCACCACTGATTATAATGACTGATGCAATTTTAGCCTACCGACTTACCTCCCCTTAACTACCATTTGGATATAATTCTACTGATTCAGTTGGACTAGGAAACTTCTGTCGACCAGATAGCCAAATCGGTTGGAGCAATACTATAACAATGTGAAGTCCAAGGGTTTTGAATCCCGGTTTAGCCCCCAAAACGTTTTACACTCCGAACACTGTTGTTGATTATATTTGTTTATCTAATCTTTATTTTCTCCTGAAAGTCCTGCAAAGTATGGTTTTCTTTTCAGAAATGATTTATTAAAATAAAAGTCATGCCGGAAAAACCCGTTTCCTATACACAGTATTTGGTTACAGTTTCTGACAGTGGTACGGGGATCCTTAAGTCACATTGTTTTTGCAATTATGGTTGTATACATTTTACTACTCGGAGGATTTCAATTCAAGGATCAATAAGATCTCGTGTTCTCAATTCCGGTGAATAAAACCCCACGAGAGTCTGAGAGACTTTAAAAGGGGTAACTTGGAGAATGCAAAGAAAATAAGAAAACATGAAGTCTTGGCACAAAAGGTGAAATCAGTTGATTTTTGAGTATTGAGAAAAACTCACTACAGTCATAAGTTAGAATCGAATTACAAACATTTCGTATATGTCGTCCCACTCTCAAACAGGAAATCTGTCTTTATAAATAGTGTTCGTCAGTGCTGTTGTTGTACTTTAAACACTACTTGCAATCTCCCGTCAACATTAACCACCAGAAAATCACTAAAACATACTGCATAAGATTTCGTTGACACATGATTTTGCGGAGTCAGACAGTACATGTATACTCTTATATTCCACCGTAATATTCCATGGTAATATTCCAGGAATATTATTGAACATCGAAAGTGTCAGGGTATACACATGACTTCAGGATTAACTCCCTTGAACTATGTTACTGTATTGGAGCTTGTCACCAGCTTCAGTGCCTAAAGCCTCTGTTTGTATCTCCTTCGATTCAGTGGTTATATAAATCCACAGTATTGATACAATAGTATGGTACATGCACAATGTTGGTGCAGGGCAAATAGAGTATTTCAGTTTCTCGTAATAATATATCACGAAATACTATCTGTATGCATTTATCTTCAAGACCTTTTCACATTAGCGATATCATCACATCTTCACCAAAACATTCCAGCGATATCGCCGCTTTTGCTGCACCAGAACATTTTGGTGACGTTCTGGAAATATCGTCACAGCTGCACCGGAACATTCTGGTGACATTCTGGTGATATCGCCGCAACTGCACCAGAACATTCTGGGGATATTGTCACAGTTGCACAGGAACATTCTGGTGACATTCTGGTGATATCGTCACAACTGCACCGGAACATTCTGGGGATATTGTCACAACTGCACCAGAACATTCTGGGGATATCGCCACAACTGCACCAGAACACTCTGGCGATATCGTCACAACTGCACCGGAACATTCTGAGGATATCGTCACAACTGATCAGAACATTCTGAGGATATCGTCACAACTACACCAGAACATTCTGGCGATATCGTCACAACTGCACCAGAACATTCTGAGGATATCGTCACAACTGCACCAGAACCTAGTGAGGCTTTTAGAGCATTGGAGTGAGTATCGCCACAACATCGCCAAAACTCTGCGGCGATATTGCCACTCATGTGCCAGACCATTATGGTGATATCGCCAGAAACCTAATTTGCATTTGAAATCTGAACACGCAGCCATATCGCTTCAATGCTATGCCAGAGATTGAATGTTTCTGTAAGGGTTAATTTACAGTAACCATTTAAATTTCCTCGTGTTACGAAATGATTTCCTAGATTCGGAGACGAAGGGGGTGCAATAGAACGGACTTAGGCATATATACGGTCACTGATCCCAGAAAATCTTTGGAGCTGGACGAGTTGTGCAGGTGTAGCTGATCGAAAAGGTGGGCGTGGTTATGAAGAGCTGCTGGATCGGCCTGAGTGTGGGCGTGACCGGCGGGAGGGGGAGGGGCTCTTGTGCCGACGACTGGATAAAGAGCTATCTCTGCTCCGCCCACCAATGGGGAGGGGTGGCTTAGCACTGGTTGGAATCATCCTGGAACTGCGACTGTCCTGTAAAACCAACAAACATGGAGAATCAATTTCTCAATTTCTACAGTTTTAACAAAGCTAAGTTACTCTGTTAGTCGGTGCAACTTCAACAACATTCATCAAACTAAAATTGCCTACAACAAAATCCTGATCAAAATACAGGAATAGTGAATTCATTGCTTTTCATATTTCACACCTATCTAATTACCTGATCGGAGATATTTGTAATAAACATTGATTCCTGTATATCCGACCGATCCATCCATATTTAACTCATTCACCCCTGAAGACACATTTTAACTCTTCTAATTCAGAGGTTGGAATAGTGTGAAATTTCAGGGGTAAATGAGTTAAGACAACATTCTGAAACTAATAGCCAATCAATGCCATCTGAGAATGAAACTGATATTACATATACATGTATACTGATCACATTATTAAACGTTTTATTTACTTTAAACTAAGTACATCAAAGTACATCTCTTCATTATCTTGACATCATAAACTGTTTTTGTAAAGAGAAACAATAGCCCTAAAACCAAACTCAGCTGGAAGAAATCTGACAGTGGAAAATTCTGAGGTCTTTTATGGTCTAATAATTTATGCATGCATGTTAAATGAAGTTTGTTCAGACATTTTCTTTAAAAAAGTCCCTTTTTCCTGTAGATCTGGGCCCCCTAACCTCCTCAAAGAAAATGCTGGATCTACCAGTTCGTAGTACACAAAGTAATTATATCCTATGCTTAATTCATACAGTAATAGGGAAAGACTGCACTCTCAAACTGAAGGGTTGATTTTTCAGTATGTGATATACTAGAGTGAAATCAAGGGCAGAACAACATAATTGGAGATACATGTATAAGCCAGCTATAGTGTAGTCAGTCATGAATTATAAATACATACATGTAGTGTAAAATAGTAAAATACAATATACCAACCGTGTATAATATCATAAATAATGTGATATTTTAAATAATAATAAGTGTTAATATAATTGCCATGAAATTAATAGTGTAATATTGAAAACTCTAGTTTAGTGTAACACTGTAGTAAACTATATTGTAATACTGTAAACTATAGTGTAATACTGTAAACTATAGTGTAATACTGTAAACTAGTGTAATATTGTAAACTATAGTGTAATACTGTAAACTATAGTGTAATATTGTAAATTATTGTGTAATAATGTAAACTAAGAATAGTGTAATTTCATAAACTACAGTATAATACTGTTACCTATATTGTAATACTGTTACCTATAGTGTAATACTGTAAACTATATTGTAATACTGTTACCTATAGTGTAACATTATTAACTATAGTGAAATATTGTTAACTATGAATAGTGTAATACTGCAACCTAGTGTAATATACTGTGTATTGTGTAATAGAGTATAATACAAATAGTGTATTATAATATACTATAGTGTTATATTGGTAGAAGGAGGGTAACATGTTTTAGTATACCACTTAAATTCTTCAAAAAAATACCTTTACAATGTATTAAAGTACACCTGAGCTAATAAATTTTACGATTAATTTTCTTGACATTGTTATCTAGTTACTACCTCACAGGGTCGTTTTCTGTGGCTTTGCTTTTCAGGAAGAAATTAGGAAGTGGTAGAGGGACAGATTCATTTTCTGTAGTTCAAACGTAATTCAATCAGAAATTACATTAGCAACAAATTTCTAGATTTTTTGATTTTTTCAAACAATACATGGCAACTCTCCAATGTTAATTTCACCCTAATTACTACATATTGAAGGGTGAGGTGGTGAACTAAAATTCGCTGTCATGCTTAAATTGCCCTCATTATGGAAGGGGAAAAGGTAAAAATTAAACTACAGCAAAAATTTCCCGGTATATATATAGTAAATGTATGACGTTTGGTCATATTCTATCCACTATACAATGAGAAACTAATGTATAACTTTAGCCAAATGAACTTGACATTTGACCTTTGACCCTCAGCCACCACACATTTTTCTCTTTATACAAGTTTTTTAAGTGTTTAACAACTATTAGTGACAGTTATAATTAATTACTTTGTAAGATATTGAAGGTTGAAAAACTTCTTCCTTTAGAAGAACGAAGCATTATGCTGGGAACAGTCAAACACATTTTTAGTGGGCTAGCTCTAAACATTTCTTGTGATTAGGCATAAAAATAGAATCTTCAATTGAACAATAATGTATATATTATAACAGTGTCTACTTAGTAAATATTTTGTTGTTGAATATACATGTGCATTATGACATTATAAACGCCAATTCATAACAAACAGTCTTTTACTTGAAGCACAGACCAGGCTGAGGGATTCCAGTATTGCCAGTTAGTAATGCTACGGTACACCAGAACCCCTATACATCTGTACTAGACCACAAAGCACCATTAGTACGGGGAGCGCATACTTTATAGACAAGCGGTATAAAACTTCTACACAACAAATATAGCAGGATAAAAAAGAACTCATGAAAACATAAATTGCATGATTCAATAAATTTGGCCTATGAAAAACAGACCGCATATATTAGGTGCAAATAATATTAGTTATCTCTGAGTTAGGAGGGGTCTACGGGCTCATAGACCCTATCTGGTTTTTATAGACCCAGAGCCGAAGGGGAGGGGTCTATAAAAACTTAAGGGGTCTATGAGCCCGTAGACCCCTCCCTCCTAACCCAGAGATAACAAATTTGTCACCCCGACAACCTTTTATTACATTTTACCTGCAAAGTTATAAGTCACTTTGTGAGTTTGAGTTGTACTGGACTGCTACCAAAATAGCCCCTACTGGACACCTTTCCGACAATATTTCGGACAATACACAACCATCTTTATAATCAGCACCCTAGCGGCCCCCTCATTGCCAGTGTTTCGTTGAATTTGTTGTCAATTAAGTAGGCTATTTCACCCTGTGAATGATTGGCACACCTCAAACGCTTGGGTGTGTGTCACGAAGCCATCTTTGTTGTTATGAAGAGAGATTCTAGTTTGAGTTATCTCCCCCTGGCAGAGCGGGGTCTATAATTCTATAGACCCCGGCAAGTTCTCCAATCAGACAGAGTGTTACAAATTAGAAGGGTGACAAATGTTAATATTCACGGATTTTATATTTACATGATGTTTTAGTCAAATGACAACCAATATACCTGAAAAGCTGTATTTAAAAGTATCAAGCAGGAAACTGCATTTTTTTCAGAATTTTAGTCCACAATAATTCTTCACATGATTGCAGACAGATCATATACCAAGCTAACACACATTATGAATATTTGTCTGCAGTCTTGTAAAGAGTTACAGGATTATAACTCTGAAAAGAAGGTAGTTCAATGCTTTTTCGATTTCTTTTATCATTGATTTTGACGATTAATTGATCTATAAATTTCAATTTCTTCTTAAAATTTAAAATTGATTTAAATGAATGGAAATGCCAATTAACAGCCAATATCATCCAGCTATCTGCATTATTATGATTATGACGTCACAACTGTAATGACGTCATAATCACAACTCCAGATTTACAGTCCCGTAAATCACAACTGACCTGGGTAGGTTTATAAAGTGGCAATGCAAAGCAAATGTAAACATTTATTATTTGCTTCCAAACCTCCGTACAAAGTTAGGAAACTCTTTAACTCATTCACCCCTGAAGACGCATTGGAACTCCTCCAATTCAACGGTTGGAATAGTTCATTATGAAATTTCAGGGGTGGATGTGTTAATCAACCCTTCCTTTCCAGAGTTGTATCAAAATAAGGCCACTCTTACAATAATCTTTTTATTTTTGTCATATCAATTGACCAAATGGAGACAGACAATTTTAAAACATTCTTTTTCCCCAGATTACCTTTTATGCCAGAACAATGAAAATTTGCCAATACCTGGCTGTTTTAACCCTTTCACCACTATATACCATAATGGACTTATCCATATCAATGCATGGTAGAGTTTATTAAAGTTACATAGGGGTGAAAGGGTTAAGAAAGACATCCTGTAATACAAATCATGATTTTACAGCCCTAAAATAGACTAGCAAATTCTTTCTTTAAATCATCATTTAACAATCTAAAATCATTTCTTTTACAGAGTTGTCTCCCATTTTACCTGTCCAAGATTTCTCTGTTACCTCGAGAATACACACCGTTAGGTATGACAAATACCTGACATATGCAATAGATGACACTAACATAACAATAAAATATGACATCACAATAAGAATTCAAAAGGAGAGATGCGCAAATCCGGAGAGAAAGCAAATAACAAATGCTCAAAGTCAGATGGAAGGAAAAAGAATCACCCTCTTGAACGAGGGTATGAGAAATAAAATTCAACCCTTATTGGTGAGATCCTTGAATATCTTGCCCTAACTCTGCTTAACTCATTCACCTCTGAAGACACATTTGAACTCTTCCAAATCAAAGGTTGGAATAGTTCATTATGAAAGTTCAGGGGTGAATGTGTTAAAGCAAGTCTTGTGTTAGACAATCAAAAATAGTACTCCTTAACAAAGTTGAGATTTTTAAATCAGTTCAGATTTCCGTCATAATTTTATAACTAGGGAATGATTCTTTTTATAAGAATAACTTATTCTAAGCGCGAATTCAAAACCCCAGCTAAAATTTTGATTATAGGTCTGCCATTTGTTTCTATCAATGTCATGAACATACATAATACAAAGGCACTCATATTTCCTATTGTGTAATACTATATGAAATACACATGATTTTGTTTTCTATCGAGTATTTCCAGCAGGACTTGCTGTTGACTTGATGAAACTGGATTATTAGGACAAATTTTTACAGAGAAGGCCAATGTGTCCCCCTGGAACACCGATTTGTGGTGATCAAATTGACCACTTATTATGTAACCGTGATAATAGTACTCTGTAGTGTCACACCCAGATCATCCTCGATACTCCAGAGGTTACGCTCACTTTCGCTCTCTGCACCCCTCAAATATGTCATAGCAAAATTGAAGGCACATGGCTAGCTATTTGATTGGTCTCGGGTATAAAAAAAATCTGACCAATCGCAAGGCTGATATCTGTTCTTTGAAAGATTACAGAGGAGCGACACCCGACTTCAAATTCAGTCAATGTTACCATTAATTGACCAACATATCCTTTTGATGTTCATCAAAGGATCAAACTGGTCTTGTTGTCTCATCAACAAGGTGGCGCACACTGAGCCTTCAATTTTATTACGACATATTACAAGGGTGAAGATAGCGAAAGTGAGCGTAAATGGAATATCGAAGATGCACCCAGATCAGTAGGGTCGCAGGTTAATATGATCATTTCTAACTCATTACATAATTATTTCCGTATTAGAATACAGATTACCATTGAGATAACACGTTGACATCATACAGAGCTGAGGAATGAGGTAAACGGCCCATTGATACGTAACAGATATAGAGTTACAACACCGAACATTAGACAAACTGTACAACACATTACATCACATGCTGACAAGCCAGTGAACATTAACCTAGAAACACAAATTTAATCATTTCATCACGACATCTCATATTTCACAGACATATTTCTATGGACAGATTTTAAGCCTATATCTGTTGTCAAAAATAAAATCCCACTTTAACCCCAACATGATGGGTCCAGATCTATACTGCATACAAATTTGCAACCAGTCAAACTTTCTCCCTTCGCCTGAAAAATCCGAACTTGCCCAGTGTTTATTTCGCCTTTCACATTTAATTATTATGTAAATTATATTTTTGACTTAATATGTTCGCTCTAATGATAAATTTGCCTCATTTCAGAGGGCGAAAAATGAAAAATTAAACTGCAGCAAAAGTTTCTCTGTATAGAGTTGTTCAAGAAATGCATGGTATTCAACAAATCAAAGGTAGCTTAGAGATTGGTAGGTATCGATAAATTTCACCATGCCACACAGGTTACATACTGTAGTCTGTGCCTCGAAGCATTTAAATGGTTTTGATGTATTTGTCAGGTGTCTAACCTGTTCGGCGAAAGCAATAGGATTAATACTAATGACATAAAAGTCGGGGATAAACGAACATTTAAGGAATACTGGGTCTTTAAACTCATTCACCCCTGAAATTTATATAATGAACTATTCCAACCTTTGAATTGGAAGAGTTCAAATGTGTTTTCAGGGGTGAATAAGTTTAAGGAATTACGATTCTAGAATATTCGAGTAATGCAGGTTCGAGGAGGTGGAGGTCTGTTGTATACCTAATGGACCAGAGAAATCAATATTTCAGACATATGTATACCATGCATTCCTTGAACTTTTGATCTGGAGCTCACAAACTTGATATAGTGGGGTTGCGGGGTTGTGGATTTAATTGGACCTGACATATTGACGGCACATTTCACAGACACGTGTATAAGCATACAACACATTACATCACATGCCGACATTGAAATCTCACCACCAAACATGAATTACGCTATCTGTTATTATGTCTCACGACATTTCACAGAAACATGAACAGATGTTAAGTCTATATCTACTGAATCAGAGAAATTAACACCACACTCCACAGTCACATAATATACTGACGTAAGTCTATATCTACTGGACCAGAGAAATTTAATATTAGTAGCAAATCAACACTAATTCTGATCGTTTGATTCAATTCTATTACACCACATACACATCCTCTACCCCAGATACATCACATGTACACATTGACCTAAACAAACAGTTTACCAACACATACAAAATAATTATGTCATAAAAAATTATACTGCTTTTACAAGAGGCCCATTGGGCCTTAGTAGCTCACATAGATTTAAAGCCAGGAAAATTTCGTAACATATCTATAAAATTGTGGTCATTAAAATAATTACCTTTGTTTTCCCTACTGAACCAAAAAGCTCTCTGTCACCAAGGGAAGTTTGGGCACAACCTTCATTTACTTGAAATATAATTCCTTTGACTCAAAAATACATCATACATCATTTTGTCAAAATCCCTTAAGCTGTTCTGGACTTTTGGCTTTTGAAAGGATTGATGACTGATGGACATCAACATTAATGATGACCAACGATGACGATGGACAAGGCACAAAGGCATAAGCACACTCTGACCAGGTCAATTTAAAATATGCTAAATACGCTCCGTAATCAAACTCTTATTCGACCTTAAAATATACATGCATGAGAATATCCGAGTGTTTAGATTACGAAATTTAGAGCCGGTGATCGGAACACATTTTAGTCGATTTGGGGAGAGCATGCGTAACAGTAAAGTGTAACAGTACACGATCCACGGGAGTACACATTCGTGTCTCTGTGTCAATATATACCAAACACGAAGACATGCAATTTATGCAGACATGATATTCAGTTGTTGTACTTACATCTTCTACTTTACAGTTTGCGCTTGTTGAGCTGATGAAGAAATAGACTTTTGTAGTTGTGGCCTGTACGATACCTACACCTTGTATACTCGAAAATCTCGATAATAAACCACAGTTTATTTTCATTTTCAGTAATGAAACCCAGGCTTAATTTCGGGGGCGACCCATTTTCAAGGCTTAATTTCTTTGAATTTTCAAATTCATTTCGCGAGTAAGCCAGCAAATGCATATTTTTCATTCCTTCTTTTCTTCACATGGAAAATACTCTTTCTTTTCAAAAATGTTTTCTTTTTCTTTTTCTTATTTCATTCATCACATAGTTGCAATTATCAATCATTTTTACGTGTAAAACCTCTTTAGGCACACAGGGAAATTGTGGCTACTACCTGTAATAATAAATATTTTCTTTCAAAAGCCGTCCTGTTTTGAAAGATGACTTATAATTCAGATATGTTCAACTGAAAGGAATCCAAGGTTTCTTATTAAATCAGGCTTATTTTTTTCGAGATTTTAGGGTAACTTATTTCATACATATACACTTCTGACATAACAGGAATTGCATTTGTTTCATTCAGCTCCTCCAAATTTTGAAAACTACCCGGCTTGAGAGATTGGGCCAGCTGTATCTAGTTTCATAGAAGCTGGCTGGGATCTAATGTAGATTGACGTTAAAACATGACACAACAAAACGCCAGCTTCCACAATCCAAGAAAAGAAAAGAAATGACCATAAAATTAGAAGATTTAGATTTAATTCACGAATACAGTAATTTCTCAAAAGAGTTAAAAAGTGGGAAGAAAACAGCTGTGCTAGTAACCACAGGTAATACAGTTCTGTGTTAGGTTCTTACCTGTGGAATTGACTGGGAGACAAGAGGTCTGCTTGGGCGTGAGTTACCTCCCCTGAAGCCCTGGGGAGGAGGTATGAGTGGCCCAGCATCCTCTTCCTCATCTATCACTTCCTGTCTGTTAACGTCACCATGGTCATCTTCATCCCGGTAGTCATGGTGACCACCCTGCTCCCGGTGATCTCTGTAGTCTCGATGGTCCCTCTGGTCGTTGTGGTCACTATGGTCCCTCTGGTCGCTATGGTCCTGATGGTCGCCATGGTCCCGATGGTCGCTATGGTCCCTGTTGTCACTAGGCTCGTCTTCGTGGTCTGGGTCGTCCTCATATTCTTCACTCTCCATTGGCTGGAGACGGCTTTGTCCTGGCCTGGCTGATCGAGCTGGTCCTTCCCTCATTGGGACGGCGTAACCATTGACGACGGGAGGGTCCTTACTGCTGCTTTCCTCCTCCTTACTGTGGTCATCGTCCATGTTTTCATCCACATATCTGTCAATCAAATCAAACGTCATCAATCCTGTTACACATTGTGTACATATATTATTTACATCTTTCAAAGGCAGGAAAAATGTCTTGAAATAATATTCACTTTTAGAATGAACACTGGGGACGTATTCATGAAGCTGTTCTCATGTTCAAGCATGAATTCTGTGCTCAAGCCGACTTTCTTGCAACTCATTTAAATCATGTACCACGGTCAAAAATCAAGTGTCAATATTGAAAGCAGTATTCGGCTTAAAAAGTCTCTCCAAATTCCCTACACATCATTGACAAAATATGATGTTTTTATTAATTTATCACTGGCACGAGAAACGGAGCTTGAGCACAGATTCTGGTTTTTAGCATGAGAATGCTTTCATGAACATGCACCTTTAAAGCATATATAGAAGTTAAAACAAAACTGAACAAATAGATTTCACAAAACTAAACAGATACAAGAAAAATGGCGTAGATCACATTGTATATTACCTGGATTCGTGTCGTTGTGGTGGTTGTTTTGAGAAGCGTGGGGCAGGTACGCCGGACTGCGCCCTCTGTTGTCGGACAGTGGCTGACGGAGGAGGATGTAGGGGTGCAGCGTAACCCCTGGGAGGCTCCAGGTCCATTGGAGGAGATTTTAGATCTGCTTCTCGTTCTTTGTCTTTCTCCCTTTCTCGTTCTTTCCTCTTTCTTTTCTTCTTCTTCTCCCTTTTCTCCATCTTAGTTACTGAGGGGGGAACAGGGGCATTCTCCAGGGGTGTCAACATTGGCGGTGGTATGCGCCTACCCTCCACCACACCCACACCTTCAAATACACAGCATCAGATATTAAATGGTAATTGCCATGGGGCTATTTTCTTACACTTATATCAAATGTGAGACACAAAAGAAGTAATTAAGAGTGAACTGGACATCTTTGTTTTTACTTCACTCATAAAAATAGAATGATAAACTAGAATTTAAAGAACACTTTACCAATTATGCATTATTTTTAACATTGCGGTGCTTTCCAATGCTTGTAAATGAAACATGTATTAAGTGAACAGCCATTTGACAGATACCTTTGACCAATAACTATTGCATTAATAAGTAAGCTACCTGGTTGTCTGGACCCTGAAGAATTTGGGCGGTTAGGATCCTGTGTTGGAGGCGGGGTTGGCCTCATCTGGTCCGTTGTGGGTGGACTCTGCAACTGGTCACGTGCCCCAGAGCTTGGTCGAGCTGGTGAGGGGGTGGGGCGTGGAGGTGGGGGCCTGGGGGGCGTGTTACGTAGTGGCTGTGGCTGACGAGGGGCAGGGCGAGGTCGACTGGGTGGGAAGCTCTCGGACGGGTTCATGGACTGATTAAAGTGAGGGGAGATAACTCTTGTGTTGCTGCTGAGGGGGAACTTGGGAGGAGAGGGTGGTTGTTGTTGTTGTCGTTGTGCTTCCCTGTAGTCTCGGTTCTCCTGAGGGTCCCGGTAATCCCGATTCCCGTCCTGCGGGAATCCCTGGTTAGATTTTCGGTTGTATTGAGGTTCCTGTGACAATAGTAAACAGCAGAAATCCAATAATGAGAACTACATCATGAGTGTCTATACCCTCAGATCAAATTACTACTCATTAGTCACAAGTGCTGTAGTGACTATTACAGTCTTCACTGAGGAACGATAAAGCACATCATTATATATCTGATAATTTCTCAAAATCCCATTGGCCAGATCCTATATATAACTCAAGCTGACTTTTTCGTTGAATATTTGATTTCTAAATAAGGCCCCTAGGGAAATCCCTTACAAGTTTACCATTGGTACCGTAAATAATATTTTGAAAAATTAATATTACCCTGGCATAAAAAAAATGTAAAATGTTTAGCAATCTTCTAACATCGAAAAAATATTGTATTTGTCAGCGCGGCTGTTATTTTAGCAAAGATTTACAATTTGAAACCTGTTATCAATAAAACATGGCAGAAAACCTCACACTCAATTTGTCTAATTAAAATCTTCGATTTGTTTTTCATTTACTTGACTGTTGAAGCATGTAATAAAACAGTTACAGACTTTTGCGAAGGTGAACGTAATGTAACATGAACCTGAAAAACAGAAATTGACCTTTGATTTGTCTCTGTCAATATCACTTTCAGGCTCATAGCACATCATATTCACCTTTACAAAAGTCAATAAATGTATACTGTTAGCTAGAAGCCTGCTGAAGGTCACACTTACGAGTGGCTGAGCATATAAAGGTTTGGAGGGGCGTTGCTGCTGCTGCTGCTGCTGAGGCTGGGGCTGCTGCTGCTGCTGCTGCTGCTGTGGCTGTTGCCGAGGAGGTGGGCGTGGTTGAATCTGTTCCTGTCGGCGAGGGAGTCTGGACGTTTGAGGTGGGCCTTCCTCATCGTCATCATCTATATCAGACACATCCATTCCTCCAGCGCTCACGTCGTCTATCTCGTCCTCTGTAGTCAAACATGAACAGTTAGAAAGCTGGACCATGTTCACTATCAATAAACTTGAAAATGTCCACTTTCAAATAACTTGACCCTTTCACTGTCAAACAAGTAGTACTAGTCATCAAACTCACAATGTCCAAGGGCAAAAATTATTATACTTATCACCTGGTAATGTAATCAGCTTTCAGTTCAAGAACCAAATATCTCTGTCTTTACCAAACTATCAACTGTTTGATTGCATGGATCAGTACAACACAGATGAGTACCTTTCACAAAGTTTATATACCTGTCAAGATTTCATGGTTTTGCCAAGGCAACATAACACTATAAAAAGACACATGGTTATAAAATTTTATTCATATTAGAATGATCGGAAAAGGATTCAGGTTTAATTGATTTAATTTTAAAGTTAACAAATGTGTTAAACATACCATGGTTGTCATCTGTGACCATAGGAACGTCGTCACCGTGAACAGGAAGTATGTCTGGGGTATTCCTGGTGTTGACAGAGACCTGTAAAAAGTGCATTGATCTCCTATAAACACCTACCGACAGATCCATTTAAATAGATACATAGACAGTCTCCAGTTAAAACTAGAACACGTCTGTAATACAGTTAAGTCCTCTTGCCCCTGATTGCTGATGACAATGAATGTGTTGACAAAACAGCAATATTTGACCAATAAATAGCAACAGTGACATTGACCTTTGAACCCTGAATTCATATGAGGCTTTCTCAAACTCGACCTTTGTATCCACTTTGATGAAACGCTGTCAGTACAGTCGGAACAGTTAAATGCCTCTGGACAGCATGGATTTGAGCAACACTTCATGCCCTGCACTTTTGTGAGAGACCATTAATATCAAAATGCAAGATACCACAGTAAAGTAATGATTTATTAGATGGTTTTTCTATTTCATTAGATTAGTTATTAAAGAAACATTTGCAGACAATGACAGTTAGATGTAAATCTATCATTAGGATAGTGACTTTCCTTTTTGCAGGACTGGGATATTTTTCCGCCATTCTACTAACATCAAGTATTCTGGAAAATGCCCTGAACTTGTACTTCCATAAGTGTAAGGCAATAACTTTATAAATAAGCTACTCACGTCAAGTCTCTCCTTGCGTCGGTTAAGCTCCCCTCCTGCACTGGAAGTATAGCGATCTTCTGGAGACTGCACAAAAGATGGCTCCCTCTCTGGAGCACTCACCAGACTCGTCGACCGCCGCATGGGTGTACGGATTCCCCGCCTCTCAGTCCGAGGCCGCTTAGGGGGGTGGGGTGGGGTGATAGGCATACTATCAAAACTACCTCCCGTATTCTGTGATAAAAGAATAAAATTGTTTTCAATTGCAAAATACATTTGCACTATAAAGCTGACTGAAGTCCTATAACATATTGCGACCATTTCGTCACCCAACGTTTAAAGATCAACTGTTAAAATGTTCCAACATAAATTCGGATGAACTTTGTATGGTTCATTTTCTGTGTTTGATTGAAACACTTAACTAAGTCCTATCAATTTCTCCTTTTTTCTTAAACCCATGACAAATACCATTATCAAAGGTAATTTTTTAACTGTCTAAGACTTGATGTTCTCCAACTTAAAACCTACTTTAGTTGTGGGCTCAACAGAAAATATATATCATTGTACACCACAGAATTTGCCTGAACGAGAAAAGTTACATTTGATTCTCTTAAAAACAACTGGTGATGTCCAAAACAAAAATACCACTTACAATCATGTGTTCGTACTCGTTGCCATTGTGATCCCCGTTCATGGAGCCGAGCGTGCCCATGAAACCGTTGGTGGACATGAGAGAGAAGCCAAGCCCGTTCGGGATCGGGGATGTGGGGTTGCTCTGGAGCCGCTGTCGCTGGTGGGACATAATAATAAGCTGCACATAGTGTAGCTGGCGGTTCTTGGCGTAGTCCCAGGCGTTGGCACTGAACTTGTCTATGGCTGACAAATCAGCTACAAACAGAAAGGTTTCTATCATAACACACGAGATCATTTATAACCACACTAACCAAGGCGTATTCATGTATGCTGAAATATCAGCAGCGTTGTTTAATTCGACTAGTCCAATGGCCTGGGCTTGTTAAAGTTATAAAACACTGGCCACTGTTTAATTGTTTAATTCGACTAGACCAATGGCCGGGGCTAGTAGAAGTTACAAAACACCAGCTTCTCATAAATGAAGAATGTCTGATTCAATGAAATACATATTACATCAATCTGCTTACTTACAGTTAAAACATAATAATTATAAAATATCAAATATCAAGACTTCAAAATAATAATCAGTAATTCTGACTGCCTAAATGAAAGACGATGAAAAGTTTCAAAACCTCAATGTGTCTGTTAGACACAGATGCTCATTGCCCAGATTAAAAAAAATAAGGCAAGGTCACAAAGACCAAGGTCAAAGGTCAAGGTTACAAAAAGTAATGTTAACTAAACATGTTGTACTCATTGCTGCAGTACTTAATCCATAGCTGAACTAAACAAAGAAATTAACGAAAGTCGCAGAGGTCAAGGTCACAAAAATGTCATGAAACATGTTTACTCGCAAAGACAAACATGCATGTGAAGTTGCACCACCTCCTAACAAGACATGAAAATTTGGAATGTCTAGCCCCACACCAGTTATTGGTGAATTTATAATCATTTATTAAATCAAATAATACATAATACACTGATATACATGATGAATTAACATCTCCTTGGAGACAGTAGTATCATTCTCCGTTTTATAAAACATTTTTATAAAGAATACAAATTCTAGTTTTCTACGGCTAAACAATTTGAAGCAACTTGAACTTTTCATTGAAACAGGTTTTCGTATGTTTTAAAATACTTGACAGTAATTGAACAAATTATGCACATCCAAGTCTCTGTCGTAGTTTTGACAATATCCCCATGTCACTCTTACCTCCGTGGTCCAGTAGGTAGTTTTGACAATATCCCCATGTCTCTCTTACCTCCGTGGTCCAGTAGGTAGTTGACGATGTCCCCGTGTCCCCCTTACCTCCGTGGTCCAGTAGGTAGTTGACAATATCCCCATGTCACTCTTACCTCCGTTGTCCAGTAGGTAGTTGACAATATCCCCCTGTCACTCTTACCTCCGTGGTCCAGTAGGAAGTTTTGATGATGTCCCCATGTCACTCTTCCCTCCGTGGTCCAGTAGGTAGTTTTGACGATATCCCCATGTCACTCTTACCTCTGTTGTCCAGTAGGTAGGTGACAATATCCCCATGTCACTCTTACCTCCGAGGTCCAGTAGGTAGTTGACGATATCCCCATGTCATTCTTCCCTCTGTTGTCCAGTAGGTAGTTGACAATATCCCCATGCCACTCTTACCTCCGTGGTCCAGTAGGTAGGTTTGTTGATGTCCCCATGTCACTCTTACCTCCGTGGTCCAGTGGGTAGTTGACAATATCCCCATGTCACTCTTCCCTCCGTGGTCCAGTAGGTAGTTTTGACGATATCCCCATGTCACTCTTACCTCTGTTGTCCAGTAGGTAGGTGACAATATCCCCATGTCACTCTTACCTCTGTTGTCCAGTAGGTAGCTGACAATATCCCCATGTCACTCTTACCTCCGAGGTCCAGTAGGTAGTTGACGATATCCCCATGTCATTCTTCCCTCTGTTGTCCAGTAGGTAGTTGACAATATCCCCATGTAACTCTTACCTCCGTGGTCCAGTAGGAAGTTTTGATGATGTCCCCATGTCACTCTTACCTCCGTGGTCCAGTAGGAAGTTTTGATGATGTCCCCATGTCACTCTTACCTCCGTGGTCCAGTAGTTAGTTTTGATGATGTCCCCATGTCACTCTTCCCTCCGTGGTCCAGTAGGTAGTTTTGACGATATCCCCATGTCACTCTTACCTCCGTGGTCTAGTAGGTAGTTTTGACGATGTCCCCATGTCACTCTTACCTCCGTGGTCCAGTAGTTAGTTTTGATGATGTCCCCATGTCACTCTTACCTCCGTGGTCCAGTAGGTAGTTTTGACGATGTCCCCATGTCACTCTTACCTCCGTGGTCCAGTAGGTAGTTTTGTTGATGTCCCCATGTCACTCTTACCTCCGTGGTCCAGTGGGTAGTTTTGACGATGTCCCCATGTCACTCTTTCCTCCGTGGTCCAGTAGGTAGTTTTGACGATGTCCCCATGTCACTCTTTCCTCCGTGGTCCAGTAGGTAGTTTTGACGATGTCCCCATGTCTCTCTTACCTCCGTGGTCCAGTAGGTAGTTTTGAGAATATCCCCATGTCACTCTTACCTCCGTGGTCCCCTAGGTAGTTTTGACAATATCCCCATGTCACTCTTACCTCCGTGGTCCCCTAGGTAGTTTTGACAATATCCCCATGTCACTCTTACCTCCGTGGTCCAGTGGGTAGTTTTGACAATATCCCCATGTCTCTCTTACCTCCGTGGTCCAGTAGGTAGTTTTGAAGATGTCCCCATGTCACTCTTACCTCCGTGGTACAGTAGGTAGTTGACGATGTCCCCGTGTCCCCATACAGATGCCAGATGGAGCGCCGTTCGTTCCTGCTTATCTCTATCATATATACAGTCGTTACCACCAATCTCGACGATGATTTTACACGCCAGCAGTGAGCCTGTCAACATAACGATACAGTTGTTTTACACGCCAGCAGTGAGCCTAGTAGGTAGTTGACAATATCCCCATGTCACTCTTACCTCCGTGGTCCCCTAGGTAGTTTTGACAATATCCCCATGTCACTCTTACCTCCGTGGTCCAGTGGGTAGTTTTGACAATATCCCCATGTCTCTCTTACCTCCGTGGTCCAGTAGGTAGTTGACGATGTCCCCGTGTCCCCCTACAGATGCCAGATGGAGCGCCGTTCGTTCCTGATTATCTCTATCATATATACAGTCGTTACCACCAATCTCGACGATGATTTTACACGCCAGCAGTGAGCCTGTCAACATAATGATACAGTTGTTTTTTACACGCCAGCAGTGAGCCTGTCAACATAATGATACAGTTGTTTTACACGCCAGCAGTGAGCCTGTCAACATAATGATACAGTTGTTTTACATGCCAGCAGTGAGCCTGTCAACATAATGATACAGTTGTTTTACACACCAGCAGTGAGTATGTCAATGCATTAGTACATTTCTCATACTCACCAGCATCGTATACTACGTACCAATCAACAAAATGGGTCAAGGTCATTAATTTTAACAAACTTTGTAGCCCTTCATCCCAGTTTGCTTCTGGCGAAATATCGACACCCTAGGCCTTTCGGTTATTAAGAAGAAGTCGTTTAAAGTAAAATATTGACGACAGACGTCGGACCCCGGACGGCCGGACGCCGGGCCACGGCATAAAAAATGGTATACTGACATTACTGTTTAACTTTCACCCAGTCAAATGTTTACCCTTAACTCATTCACCCCTGAAATTTTATAATGAACTATTCCAACCTTTGAAATGGAAGAGTTCAAATGTGTCTTTAGGGGTGAATGAGTTAAGGGTCCCTGTCCGACTGCTAGGTGTTTTTTCCAATATGCAGTTACCTCCCCTTAACTTCTGTTTGGATACATCTGTAGAACAGTTGGGCAGGACACTTCCGTTGACTGAGTAGCTAAATCAGTTAGAGCGACAATATAACTATCTGAAGTCCTGGGTTTGAATCCCAGTTTAGCCCCACCAAATATTTTTCATGAGCAACATACATGGGGTAGGCAGATATAATTCTACTTCAAATTGATTAAAAATATATAAATTTTGATTTAGAATAGATACCATTTATTTGTATTGAAAAACAAAAAAGGTGGGTCGTATATATAAAAAGTGTTCCATTTTAGGTACCCTTCGGTTACTGATCAATGCTTCTAGACGTACCCATTTCTGCGGCTAGAAGCAGTACTGTTTTGCCATCCTCATCCCTTATAGCTGCCGTCTCCTGGGTCAACAATGTCTGTAAAGAAAAAATGAAAATCAGAAAAAGAATTCTTGAAACCATGATAATTTCAGGATCACTAATTTTCACCATCTGGCTTTTTAAAAGCAGTCTGAACCTGCTCATGTGTACTTACTATTGCAGTTAACTTCATGATTTTTTTAACACTTTGCTGAATTTGGCCCTTAAATGTTTAAGACTAAAAAGCCAAAAATAAAAAAAGACCAAAACGAAAGTAAAATTTCATATTTACAAGAGATTTGTTTTTGTGAACAAAAACGTATGTCTCCCCTTTAATGGTTTAAAAGGATACTGCAAGTTTTCTCAGGATATCTTTAACTTAGCACTTATTTGACCTGATCATTAGAAGAACTGCCTACTGATTAATTATAAAATGCATATATGACCAAGTTCTAATTGTAATGGGACCATTACAGAAGGCCATAACACTGACCCTATAGTCACAAATGATGCTTGGATAGAATTTACAATACCATCATATATTTATATACTTGCATACTAAGTTCAAGTAAAATTGTAAGTCACAGTCAGGGACCAATGGCATCACCTTGGTGTACACCTTTAAATGTTTGAAACAATCAGACTTTTTTTACCTTTGACCTTGGGGTAAAGGCCACAATGACCTAACGACACTGTATTGTAATAAAATATAGGTGATGCAGTTATACTGTAAGTTTCATCGAGATATCTTTAATGGTTTAAAAGTTACAGCCCAGACAAGATGTTCCTGAAAAATTTACACATATTTGACATTTGACCTTGGGGTCAAGGTCACAATGACCTAATGACAGTGCACTACACATGGTCCATGGGTGATACATGTATACTTCAAGTTTCATCAAGATATCTTTAATAGTTTAAAAGTAAAGGCCCAAACAAGATCAAATTAGAAGAACCAGAAGAACCATGCAGGGCCTTTTTCGTTTAAACGGTTCAACCGGCCGGACCACAGTTGTTGGTTTATTAAATAATGTCAGACCTAGTAATCTAATGCTGCTTTCAGGCGAGCCTTGACAAAGCCCTGCAAGGCCTGCATACACATTTGCAGGTCTGTCAAGACTAATACCCAAAAATGTTACATTTAAAAGCAGATGTACCGGTTGTTCCACATAAACGAACAGGCCCCAGTACTAATACAATATGTCTCCCTTCATTTGAAGGGGAGATGTAATAAATCTACCCTGTTCATCACCACTTCGTCACTAAATCTGTTCCAAAACTACACCGTCTTAGAACAAAGGACTATGTATGGTTTGGGCGTTTTTTGGCCAGCAAATGCATCAAAATTCAAAACCTTTAAATGAACTTTCAAATGACTGTTTCTTAAATTTGAATACTTCTCAATACTATCATGATTTTTTTTCCTTGAAACTATAGAGCGCATGCTACAACAAACTTGATTTCAAAGGATAATGTGTATGTACATACATCTTAAGGAAAAAGTTTGTTCAAGAGTGCGCTCTATGGTAGCTATAAGAGAAAAACTAGGTGAAAACCGGTCAAAATTGACCAAATATTCAAATTTCATTACTTTTATGCAAATATTTACTGGTGACCATGGCCACCATAATTGAAAACACAAATAAATGTTTACATGATAGTACCAGGGAAGTATTCAAAATTAAAGAAACGGTCATTTGAAAGTTCTATTGAAGATTTTTAATTTTGATGGATTTGGGGGCCAAAAAAGGCCCTAACTAATATAGTTCTTTGTATATAAAAAAAACATGCTATACGTTTACGCATAGGCGATTTGAAAAAACCTTACAGAACTTACATGGAACGGAGCTTAAATTGAACAACTACATTTTCGTAATAGTATGGGGAAACGCACCGAGATGTTGAAACGTAATGTCGTAAGTTGATCGGCGATTCTCTGGCATAGGAATTTGGCTAAACTTTTTTTGTTAACGGTTACCTATTTAATAATACTTTTCACATAAACTCACATAACAACACATTATGTATCTTTTATTAATGTTTGACATAAATAAATTTGTTGACCGTCATTTGTCTTATAGTTCCGTGTATAATAAATAAGGGAAATAATCCAAGATGGCGATCTCCCAGAATCGTCGATCTTTTCCTGAAAAAAACTTGAAATTTTCTATACCTGTGTATTTTACGCACCCCCCACTTTGGGTATTAAATTTCTGAAAAAAAAGCGCGCAAATTACATGGGTTTTTACGGTATGTTATCATCATATGTAAGCTTCACAAACCTGTAGACACTCTAAGGGTTCTGATCGCCTAATGGACCAGTGCATCCATGTGCGGCCATTGTTGTCTCTCTCTATCCCGTCAGCATCGTCCACATTGAAGTTGGAAGAGGAGCTGAGAAGCTCAAAGTGTTTGATGTGGTCTAGTCGACACGCCCACATACAGGGAGATAACCCATCCTTGTCTCGTGAATTCACATCCGCGTTGTGGCCAATCAGGTACTGTAAAATACACAAATGAATTGTGCGTTGAATAGATTATCCTTCATTTTTTATCTAAATATGCACACAACAGTAGGGTGATAATATTTATCAAACACACCAAATTTTATTGCAAATGTTAAAAGAAATTTTCAATTTACAAAAATAAGGGGAAAATGTGTGAGACATCACTGTCCCCCCTAGCTGTGTGGTTAATACCAACAGTGACCTTAACTTATAGACCCTGGGATCCTGAAATACAAACTCACTGAAGGTATTCTCATACTTGATCTTTTGTGTAAAGTTTTACGAAATTTACTTTAAGAAATTAAATGAAATCACTAGATTCATGCCACTGAATCGCAATGCAACAGGATGTAATACCCAGATAGACACGGGTAACACTGTATAACTCCCCCCACCCATAAAACGACAGAGGCATACAATACTATATATGTTAATATAAATATGTTATGCATGAGTATGTGGTAAGTATTATATAGAATATTATCTATTTACCTGGCTGTCACATTTATTACACCAACAGTACGTATGAAGAAAAACTATGCATGGTGAAGAGTTGAATCTGAAGTTTCAAAACTGTTATAATCTCTAGGATGTTACTGACGATTACACTATTAACATTCATGGTTGTTTTGAATATCGATAATAACATGAAAATCACCAAAAAAATATGCTGTTTTAAGAACATTGTCGAAAACCCACGGCTGATTTCGCTTTGGTACTTACTCATCACATGATGAGTGAGTACCGAAACGAAATCAGCCGTGGGTATTGAGTGAGTACCGAAGCAAAATCAGCCGTGGGTATTGAGTGAGTACCGAAACGAAATCAGCCGTGGGTATTGAGCGAGTACCGAAGTGAAATCAGCCGTGGGTATCTGACGATGCCTTAAGAACAGCCCTGCATGAAATACAGCATTTCAAAAAAATTGACATCTGTATCATAATAACATGAAAATTACAAAAAACAATGCTGCCTAAAGAACAGCCCTGCACCAAATAGAAATATAGCATTTCAAAAGCATGACATCTGTGTCCTTCATTTTGGAAAAGCATGTACATCTATGTGGTTGAATGTAAAATCGTATTGTTATTTTCTTTACGAAAATATTTGATCTAGGATTGATGAAGAGAAGAGAAAAAGGATATATATATATATACTGTGCATGGGGCAAAGAAGTAACTCCAACAGTGTGTATAAGTTTAGGTTGTCAAATTTACGGAGCGATCCGCTCCTTTATACTGTGCATGATATACACATATACAAGTAGGTTGATATTTCAAATACAATGTACACATACAGCCTTAAGTTCAATCTAACATAAATATGTATATTACAGTTTCTTTGGAATAAAATTGAGATTAAATAAAAATCAACAGGCAATAACGAACAAATGGAAGGCATATATATATTTAAACTGCTTTAAATACACAATAATATGATTAAAAACACCCCAGCCAGGTGAACGTGTTGAAGAAATGGGATTTACGTGACAATGACTACATGCTGATGTAACAGGGGTGACTAAATCATTCAGCACACTAGATCATGCATTGACAGATCTAACCAGTACAGCACAATTAGTCATCAAAGCTGACATCAACACAGCGATGGATTTCAGAGTCGGGAAAATCAATGATTTCACCACTGTAGACCATAATGGACTCATCCCGATAAAATGAATGGTAGAGCTGCAATAAATAATGTACCAGCTCTTTATGGGCTAAGGTTTTGCACTTGACAACTTCTTTGTTATGGAGACAATTAAAACAAGGCAAGGTGGTAGTGATAGCAAAGAATGCAAATATTTACTCCTTTTCAGTTAAATTTTGTAAAACTTCCTTAAGCGAATTATTTTTTTTATAACTTAAGAGATTACAGTATACTAGATGAAAATGTGGTGAAAAATGAAGAAAGTGCCAAATTGAAATACAATTTGAACAAAGTTTAAAACCCTCCTTCCCAGCAAGTCACAACACAAATATTATGACTCTATATAAGCCTTATAGTTCAGTAGAAAATTTCGGGGTTTTTTTTTCTACTTTTGACTCCTATTACTTTAAAATACTTATATCCTTAGAAACTTATTTAAAAAAGATGTTTGACGTTTTTATACATTTGACCACTGTGACCTTCAACAAGTGTTAATGTAATTCATTCAACATCTGATTAAAACTTGATTTCTCTCAGCAAGGGCAAATGTAAAGACCTGACAAACTAATGATTTCTTAGCCTCATAACTCTGTACCAAAAGTTATTTGAAAATTCTTCACAATTCTTCACAATTTTTTTGTATTCAAAAGTGGATTACTTACAAAACTTTCATTGGATAAGATACCAGGTAAGCTTTTCTCTTTATAGTAGCTGAACTCATTCACCCCTGAAGACACATTTTGAACTCTTCCAATTCAAAGGTTGAATAGTTCATTTAGAAATTTCAGGGGTGAATGAGTTAAGTAATGCTTACCCTATGGTGGAGCTTATGCTAAGGACACATTTTCACTTATAAGATGTTTTGAGAAAAGAAAGCAATTTATTTGAACTAACTGATAGCCTTGCTCACCAACAAGCTTAAGACCAAATATCATGACTTTTGGCTTTATGGTTGTTAAGAAGAAGGCTTTTTAATGAAAAACAATGAAAGACATCGGATTTTTGAAACCTTAATTAATTGCAGACATTTTGCACCTCTTGGAGACCAATTCATCAGACATTTTGCATCTGTGGTGAATAAATTTGATAAACATGCAATTGTTTCCTTTATGTGAACTACTGGACAGAATAATAGGTTTCAGGCACTGATCTCAGTTTTATGAAGGTTCCTTAACCCTTTCACCACTGTAGACCATAATGGACTAGTCCCGATAAATGCATGGTAGAGTCTACTAAAGTTACCTAGGGGTGAAAGGGCCAATGTAAGAAAATCCAATGTCGATGAAATTGGGGCTAGGTACAGATACTGGTGTTCCAAGTAACACCTGCAGGTAATGACAGGTTTCCAAAAATGAGTAAATACTCAACACCCTGAAGTCGTTACATCGTATAATCATCGGGACACTCCAGTGGTGCTCATGAACCACGGGCCCACGGCTGACAATGTCTTTGTCATAATAAGACGTTTAACAATAGTACCTTCCCCACTCAACACAGTCTATAGGCATTGAAAGTATTAACACAAATAAAACCGGCGAAACGAGTACAGACCAAATTAACTATGGCCCGATAATCCCTCGGGTATACACAAAATTGGACATAACCTGGTACAAATCTCGGGAGAGGACAATTCAGATAGCCGGCTCTAATTATCCCCAACCCCATAATTTATATATGGAAACAGTGTTTAACTCATTCACCCCTGAAATTTCATGATGGACTATTCCAACCTTTGAATTGGAAGAGTTCAAAAGTGTCTTCAGGGGTGACTGAGTTAATACTGTGAAATGTCTATAGTAATATTTGTCTATATAAATAGTGAGTGGTGAAAACAAAAAAAGTATGAAAGGAAAACCTGATGAATATAAATCTACAGGTAATCTGGTACTGATATTGAGGGATTGGGAGAATATTTCATGACATTTAAATTTTCTGTTTGACATTTAAAATACCTGGGAATGTTTGAAAATGTGCAGCTTATTTCACGTGTATTGGACAGGTTTACAAAGATTGTGCACCAAGGATCAAATTAAAATGCAAAATACATCATATGTAAATAAGCATGACTGTATACTTGCTTGGATACAAGTATATATACATGTGACATTTTGTCAGTTATATCCAATGTGTACAGCATTCTATATATATTTGTATTGTTAACGATATCCGGATGTTAATGACAAGTTCATGAAGGTGCAGGATACATCCGTCAGTCATAATGTTGAAAGTATACCGTATTTGCCATAATTAGCACTCTTCCTCAAGCTCCTTTTTATTGGAGGAAATGGTTTCAAAATCTCCAGACATTTCTGAATGTTTATTTTATCCTTTGGTGATAACAGTTGAAGTTGCATATCTTTTTCTATCATAACTTACATTTTATTATCCTAATAAGCAACCCCCCCCAACCCACCTTTAAGCCAATTATTAAGTGCCCTGGGTACTAATTATGGTGGATACTGTAGACATGTAACAAATTTATACATACAGCATACAAAGAATACCTCACAACTGAATGGAAATGGCAAGGTGATAATACAAAATTTGTTCAATATATTTGAGCTATTTAACTTATTCCAATGATAGATGTAAAATTTGCAGGATTATCAAGTTACAGAAGTCTGACCTTTGACCTTGGCCCTATGCATCCAAAATAAAACTAACTATTACTTTTTACAAATTCCAAGAAGGCCACTGGCAGCCATGTTGATTTGAAAATTCATTTTGAAATTGAAGTACGGCAAGTTATTATTGTGAGTAAGCATAGGAAATTTCATGAAAATAAATAAGCACCCTTACACATGTATGTTCTAACAAATGTGTGGGTGATGCAAGCCGGTTTATATATGTCAACTTTACCTCTCAGGTGACACAAAAACTAGGTCAAACTGACGTCACATTTTTTTATGGTACACTTTTAAAATATAAAATATAATTTTGATTTATTTTACAACAATTATGAAACAAGTTTTAACAACTTATATTTATCATGTTTCTTGCTCCTTACTGTGTTGCCTCACTCAAAGCTTCGGAGTCCTGTCACTAAATAATGTAATAACGGAAACTTTTGTCTGCGTAGACATATCGGGTTAGGACTTGGTCGTCGGTGTTAGAAACCACAGTAAAATGTTAAGTCAGCGTTTCATAACATATGTTGGTGATGAAGTTTACAGAACTTTAAAAAAATAAAATAAAAAAAAACAATGGCAATGAAAAAAAAAAAAAAAAATGTGAGGAAATCCTTCCTCAGGGTGAATCGGGATACAAGTATGCATTACACAATGTCCTTACCTTGAGGCACTCGGTACTTTTGGTTGTGACGGCCCAGTGGATGGGGGCACGCCCCTGTGTGTCCTGCATAGTGAAATCCCCTCCATACTGTAGTAACATGCTGAGGGCTTTGTGGTTGGCATCGTGGCAAGCTTGGTGTAGTGCTGTAGATCCATCTGTAACATAATGTCATTATCGTCAGTACAACCTCAAATACATCAGAATCTAGACATCCGATGATAACGTTACACAGGGCCATCAAATATTGTAAAAGTGGAAATTATCATGTATAGAAAAGTTCATATATATAACTTATTATATCTGGGGTAAATAAATGTTGAACTAATTTCTGCAGCATAAAAAATGCAAGCATTTCCACACCACATAATCAATTTTTTTAACTTTTATAGTAAACAATAGGAAAATCACACTAGTAAAAGTGGAAATTATTCCATGGAGTAGAACTGTTTGCATTTATGACTCTTTTATAGTGATTGCAGTGGGTTTTTTTTTTACATTTGCAATGGTTCTAAAATCTGTTTAAATCTATAATCTTTATACCTGCAAATATATTTGGGTGTAGAAGTTGTATGTTTTTGCCCCAATTTATGCAGTATAAAAAAACGCAGGCATTTCTAAATCATAATAATTTTCACTTTTATATATACCTGTACGCTAGTGAAGTACTTCCCACTGACTGGGCTATCACATGTAATGTAGGCCTAGGGCCATCAGAAATTATGTTACCAAAGTCTCATTGTCAATTCAAATGCATCTATAAAACATGCAGTCAAATATTCTACCACAGCCAAACAAAAAACAATAATCATTCTGTTTGTCATGGCTGAGGCTTTGCTCAGCTATTGCTTATCAATTTGTATCCTTTGAAAACACATATTACCACAGGGGTTGAAAGGACTACATGTATGGTTTGGGCCTCTTTTGGCCCCCAAATCCATCAAAATTAAATATCTGCAATAGAACTTTCAAACAACTGTTTCTGTAATTTTGAATACTTCCCGAGTACTATTATGTAAACATTTATTTGTATTTTCAATTTTGGCTGCCATGGTAACCAGGTCATATTTGCACAAATTATTGAAATTTGATTATTCAGTCAATTTTGACAGGTTTTCACCTAGTTTTTCTCTTAGATACTACCATAGAGCGCACTCTTTAACAAACTTTGTATTTCTCCTGAAGATGTATTACAGGTGCCTACACATTATCCTTTGATATTAAGTTTGTTCAAGCATGCGCTCTATAGTTTCTAGGAGAAAAACTATGCAAAATACCGCAATATTCACTGAATATTCAATTTTTTCTAATTTATGCAAATTTGAACTTGTTACCATGGCAACAATAATTAGAAATATAAATAAATATTTTCATAATAGTATTTGGGAAGTATTCGAAATTAAAGAAACAGTCATTTCAAAGTTCTTTTAAACGTTTTGAATGTTGATGCATTTCGGGGCCAAAACAGGCATAAACCATAGCTCTTTGCCATTTTTTCCCCCACAGCAATAAATTGTAATAACGCAGCATTATTTCAGTGTTAACTCACCATGAGCTGTAGCATTGACTTCAACTCCACTCTCCAAAAGGCACTTCAAAATGTCAAACACATCAAAGTGTACTGCGTATATTAATGCTGTCCGTCCGATTCCATCTTGTTCCTCTATACAAGAAATATCTACAAATGTAGAAATAATTGAATTACCATCAATGAAAATTTTCAATCCTGTTTTCAATGCTCAGTATTAGCACTGAATGCAGAATATGTCATAAATGGGGTCCTGTTGCATAGTTCAAACGGAATAATTAAAGAAAAGTGGGTTGGGGGGGGGATACTTTTGAAATTCTATGCTTCAAAATTTAAAGGATATGGGGACAATGTAATGCAAATTGCAATATGCATTGTCCTTTAAAAGAAAAGAATATCTTCTTTTTTACAGACACTAAGAAAAAAAAGAACTGTCAGCAAAAAAAAATGTACATTTATTACCCAATTAAATCTTGAGTATACAATAACATTGTTGTTGACCATACGAGACCAGCCTCAGCTTCTAAACATTCATCATCATCTTGCACTCCACTTATTACAGTAATATACAAGAGGTCTATAAGACCTGCATCATTCACTTGTTCCTTTTGCTATAAATCTAAACTATAGACCAAGAATTTGAGGGGAAATAATTGCAGTAACAACTTCATTGCTTGTAATCTCAGATTTTTACTGACTCAAGCTAATCAAATGACTGTACCACGACATCAATCTCTTAACCAGAACTAAAAGGTTTAGTCTACTGCAGTCCCCTTTTAAGCCTCATTCCACTGCCCATATAGGAGTCCAATATCCTTGAGGATTTATACAACACTTAAACTCCTCGACCAAATGACAATTTAATGATTTGGGCCTAAGTTGGTTCAAATCCCACCACCCTTACAGAAGAAGTCTTAAAAATGTTTACTATTGCATCCCTTATTGAGTTCAGCTAGGTCCTCTCCCCCTAGGCAGCACTGGCTTTTCAATTGGAGTTTCTTACTTGGACAACAGATTGCTTACCTTTCTAAATCTAATGACAATTTATTATTTTTTTATTTCAGTATTAACAGCTATTGTTGGGAGGGGGGGGAATATTCTGTTCCAAGTTTCCTCTTCAATTTTTAGCTGTCATGTGCTTGAAGTCATTGGCCGTTATATACGCCATACAAAATATCATCGTAAAAGGCAGAGAATAAAACCAGATATTGAACCTTCTATTACTTGAGTTTGTCTTTTATTTGATAAGGCACATCCATCATATGTACATACATACAAAATTGTATACAATATTGAGTCCCTTTGGGACAGTAACAAATCTGACCAAATTTGTTTCATACCCTTTCGCTGGCACCAATTTAAAGAAGTAGTTAAGTCTTTCAAAGATTTTCATCACTCATTGATCAATAACATGCTTTCTTTAATTTAAATGAACGGAACAAATGTTGCATTTTCGCTATGATCACATATAAATATATGGCATATATTTGTTATGGTGGAATATGACTAGGGCATTCAGATGACTCTTGGCATTTATAGTGATTACAGAAGTCAAATAGAATTTTCCCTGAAATTAAAGAAATCATAGGATAACGATAGTTTTCTGAAAACAGTAACATATGCAATCTGGAGGCCATCTTGTGCTGAGGTCAAGATTAAAGTCGATGTCACATTTAGTTTTTTGAGAAATATTTGGTCTAACTCTTCAATCCTGCAAATTTATTTCCAGCAAACTGGAGGCCATCTTGTCATCTTAGCTTCTTCTGATTAGTCTCAAAATTAAGCATGCACAACTATGGACCAAAGCCAAGGAAACATGCATGTACAGTGACAAATCTATACATGTATATGAGTCCCAAGTCATAATACTCAAAGAATTTTGTTGGGACTCGTAGAATTTTTTGGAAATACTTAAATTTCAAATTGTGGGACCCTTTGTTTTTANGGCATCCTAGTAAATATTGTGGGTATCCGTTATCTGATATTTTTACTATATTTTCTTTATTAAGGTGGCTCGACACATCGTCATCAGCGTCCATTTTCGTGACGTACTTCCGGAAAAAGTACAGCTCGGACTCAATTATCTTGATCGAAATGTGCATGTACACCGTGTCGTCATTTCCGTTTTGCGTATCGGGTATTCAATATCGTAGTGCAAATTATAGTAACACCTGGGCCGTTTGCGTTTAAACGGTCAAACCGATCGGACCACTGTTGTTCGTTTATTAAATAAGGTAGGACCTAGTTATCTGATGCTGCTTTCAGGCGAGCCTTGAGAAAGCCTTGCAAGTCTTGCATACACATTTGTAGGTCCGCCAGGATTTATACCCGGAATTGTTACATTTATAAACGGTCAAACCGGTTGTTCCGCATAAACGAACAGGCCCCTGGTAAACAATAGTACACGTGCGTGCCGATGATATGTCAACACCCGATATCGAGATTTTACCGGGAAATGTATAATCACACGTACTTCAGGAATAAAGCTTTCCAATTCATTGACATAAACAGACTCACGGGAAGACAGTGACATGAGACCAGACGACCTCAAGAAGGTCATATAGGAAACACATGGAATGCGGACGTACCAACCTCATATGTGCATATCACGTGCTTACACGAGTTCATAAGCTGAGGGAGTTTCGCTCTGTCGATTAAATCGTGTTTACAAATGTAGTCTACTTACTCTGTGAAAATAATGTTTTGTAAAATATCAAGATACCTATGAAATGCATGTGTGAGGGCACGTGAGAACGGCATACCATGCGATAGCCTCTGGTCACATATGTACCTGACATGTAATTATAAATATACCGTGAGTTAGCGGACTGTGGAATGATGTCCAAAGTGTACATGACTGAGGGTAATTTGGTTCCATTAAAGAACAATAAATTGATAATTTTGATATCATATTTTTGATTTATTTCCATCATTTGTTATATGTAAACAGAGACAACTGTCATTGTGTAAATGTCATCCCTCTGCAAAAAGTTCCGATTTTTTTCAAGGAAGATAACTCTCACCCGGATCAAAGTGATTGTAAAATGTAAAATAAATTAATTATAAAGCCATTGTGTATATTTTGTTCAATTTCCCACTCTATATGTATAGATCTGTGTGTCCTGTTTGCTTTTAGCTTGTAGATAATCACTTTTATCCGTTCAAATTCAATAAAAAACACTTTGTGTAACATGTGTTACATATTTTGCGATAAATAAAATATTTGTAGGATTAATTATAAATGCTTCTTTTCATTTTTTTATTGTTTTTATTGTTCCGAACAATGCCACACACAAAAAAACCCGGAAAATATTAAAAGTGGCGAAAATTCAATTTTTTGGTATTTTGTCCAAAAAATTCCCCAAACTATCGGAATGTTTAGATTTTCATAAAATTAACTCTGCATAGTTGCATAACCATTATATGAAAGTTTCAACGAATTTTGCTGGTTAATTGCGAAAGTGTGGAGCCACCTTAAAACAATATTTGTTGGCATTGCTACGCTCGTCTACTTTGTAACTTGACCCTAAAGTGTTTATTTATTTTTATTTTACCACCTCTGCAAAAACCCAAGTTGCAACTTGCAACGCTCGGCGGAAATATACTAGCATAAGTTGCATAATTATATTATTGACCGCTCGTTATAGATGATCTGAAAATTAATACTTTTTATTGTAACCTTCCTAACCGCCCGGGCGATATTAATCATATCATTATACAAGAACGATCAAGTTTTTTTTCGGCTGACAATATTATGTATAATCAACTAAACATATCCATTCAATTATTTTGGTATTATATATATTGTTGGAACTGTTTAACTATCTTGTATGTACAACATAATATCTCATTGTGGAACTTATAGCTTACCATCGTGTACGTACAAGAAAGTATCTTCACACAGAATACTATTGTGTACGTAGTAATAAGTTGTACGTACCAGAATGAGATGATATGCTGTACTTACAAGTATGATAATTTTAAATTAAATTTAAAGGTGACGCATATGTGCCTCCTAAGTTGTACCATTTTAACCAGATATTTTAGCAAATGTACCACTGACTGTTGGTAATATGCACGCCCTTACATGAGTTAATCAGCGTGGACATTTCAATTATAAAACGCGAGACTATATAGCTAGTGGCCTTGGGTGTCGCACTGATTTGAACTTATCCGTTTGTTTAGCAACTTAGTGATGCCATGAGTAACTCATTAATTAAACAGCAACGATGTTATGGTGATGTTTGTTTTTTTGTACGACAAACTATTACATGAAGTACTGTACTGTAGGTACAATGTCTGAAGACTAGATATTGTGCGTCCCTACATTTATTTTTTGACGGTGGACCTCTCGTATCCCCCTTACGGGCGGGACGCCAAATTAGGTAATAATGAACAAGCCCCCTGTGGATTCATACATTTGTCATCATCAGGTTGCCCCTATAATAATACCATCTGACTTCTAAAACACGCTGTTGATAGAGAATTTGAACCGAAACTTTAAATTTTCTTTCCAGTACACAAAAAAGGTCTTCGGGCCATACTTAAAATATGTTTTCTTCTTCTTGTTAATTAAACATAAAAACAATCCTCAGAACACGGGAAATCGCTTTTGAGACGTTCTAGAAAACACATTTTTTTGGGGGAAATCCCCCAAACCCCTTGCCTCCCCCTACTCGCGCTATGCGCTCGGGGTGCTGCCTTAAGCAGCACACCGTTGACTATTGAGAAATATTTCCCGGCCCCCCCTTTTAGGAAATCCTGGATCCGCCCCTGATATTTGGTCTAACTCTTCAATCCTGCAAATTTATTTCCTGACATCTTGTCATCTAATACTCAAAGAATTTTGATGGGACTCGTAGAATTTTTGGAAATACTTAAATTTCAAATTGTGGGACCCTTTGTTTTTAGCAATCAAAAGTTAAAAAGACCCATGAAAATAAATTGTAGATTGATCACTGATGTACATACGTTGCTGTTTGAGAATTTGTCCTAATATTTCATGGTTGAAACTGATAAACAATGGACCAAGGTAGATCAGCGATTTGAAAAGGTCATCATGATCATCCGATGGTTATATTCACTTTATTCTTTTTTGATGAAAGCTTTCTAGTAGTTATTTCCCCATATAACACTTTTAAAGTGCCATTAACGTGAAACACTGGTTAAACAATTGTCACCCTGGTAAAAAATAACAGCCAATAATAGTCGATACCCCTCTGAGGTAATAATTTTTTTCGATGCCTGATCATCTGCAAGGGGTTGAACCTGAGACCTCTGGTTTACTATTCCGCCTTTGCGTATTGCAGAGTTATCTTCTCTTGTGAGCAGGTATTGATTGTTACGTCATTGGTTTGTGTGAGAAAATTGCGTTGTTTTCTGAAATATTGATGACGTTACTCTCACAAACAGATAACGTAACAATCAATACCTGCTCACAAGAGAAGATAACTCTGCANGAAAAATTGATGACGTTACTCTCACATACAGATGACGTAACAATCAATACCTGCTAACAAGAGAAGATAACTCTGCAATACGCAAAGACGGAATAGTCTAAAGATCTTTATATACACCATGAACTTTTAAGAGAAATTCCCCCTCGCCAAATTGATAGAAAGTGGCTAGTATGTTGTACCAGGGTGCATGACATAAATATCCCCCTTCAGATAATAACTTATCTCAAGTCTTCCAGGGGTCATGGTTACTCTTATATACGTATACATATAGTATACGTATGACTGAAAATTTTGGTTAACAGTCCTAGGTTCCTATGTGAGCGCCAATGTAACAAGTCATTCTGTATTCAATGCCTCCACTAGGGGTCGAACCAGGGACCTCTGGTTTAATAGTCGTATGCTCTACCAGATGAACTAAAGAGAGGAAGCGGCTAATATTTTATACCAGGTGACTCATCTAATCTAGTCACTTGTTTCCGACTGTCACACTGATAAATTATTTATACAATCATAAAATGCCAGAACTCCATTCAGCAAAATCAACACAGTATGTCAAGAATAATATTAATGAATTAGTTCCTTAAGGTTTGAACATTTTGCAATTAATTATTCTGAGAACTTACCATTTTGAATTAACTCGACACACATTTCAAAGTTGCCTTCCTTGACAGCCTGTATAATGGGAGGTAACCTGGTAAAGTTTATACTCTCCTCGTTACTGATTCCCGTTAGGCTTCGTAACGAATCTAAGTTCATCCATCGCCACTGAAATTTGTCTGGTGCGTCCACGAAAGGAGTCATAGGACTCAGTCCTCTGGCTGTAAGTGACAGCGATGTCGATGTTGCCTGGGCATTCTTTTCGTGAATGCGATTCTGTAACAATCGATAATACTTCTGCAGTTGCAGAAGAGCAAGGTTCAATGTATCTCGTAACTCTGCACATTCTGAATCCTCATTTAACTTCAGAAGAAATTCATGAAGAAATGCAGCTGCCTTTTGAAAATCTGAAAATAAAAAGAACAAAGTCTTAGAATTTACACATAATCTACATTTGATCTTTGAGATATTTTTTTATAGACCTTCTAAAATTCTGAAAGACCAAACATTTACCAAGAACATTTTGCTTGTATATTTAGTGGTTGATAACATCTAATTAAGAAAATATGTGTAATAATAAAGGAAAAGAATGAATAAACAAAACCCTTTTTTGTTCGCTACTATATATACTTATCATTGGATAACACATATCATAGGAATTAAGTTAATAGACATCTTGAATTGGTTAACTAATTCAAAATTTTCCAAAAACCTACAGTGATATTCATGGTGATTGTGTCTATGTCTACCGTTACCTTTGAACACTGAAAGAAATAATAATCACCTTTCGAAGTCCCTGTAAACCAATTTATTTATGTAATTTTAACAATGACATACATGTATTGCAATGATAAGTCTAAATTGGTATATTCTTTTTCTAAAACAGTAGAAAAAAAGTTGTTAGATTGCAGGACTGTATTAACATGGTGTAGTATTATATTTTGTTAATCAGATATAAAGGTCCAGAATGGATTCTGTTTGGTAATTTAATAAGGAGGTGCTTATATCATTTCAATATAATGATATATTATGCCCCAAAATTACCTACAGTAGTACTGATTATTGATATATATATATATATATATATACATATATGATTTTGATAATTTATGATTAAAACACAAATGTCTGAAAATTGTATATTATTAAATTGATGTAACTAAACCTACACTGGGTAAAGATTAGATACGTAATAAATGTTCAAACTTGATTTTATCTTGTCTTCCAGGTGAAAACAGATTCAGCAACATGCCATCCATTTCAATGATAATGTGAAAGTAACACTTTGAAAGATATGTCTTTGTAAAACAGTAACTTTGTGTCTTTGTAAGATCACTGTAACTTGAAAAAAAAAATGTGCTGTGACGTATTCCTGTTGATACCCCTGTGAGGAACCTCAGAGATGCTTAATAGTTGACATAGTTGTCATGGTGACAGGTATCATTCGGAAAAAAATAATTGCACTTTTAAGTGCAGATTTGCATTCCTCACATCATGACATGCAGTAAACCAATTAAATCTAACGCGAACCTGTCGATTGTAACACTGACACAATGGCAAAACAGCATTACAGATGTAAAAACACACATAATACACTAATCTTGAGGTAAAATCTGGACATTAAGATCTGGGTCAATGAAGGTGAAACTCATGTTAAAATGTTTTAGTAATCTTGGGACATTGACGATTAATTACATATATCGTCTTATTCTTATCACATGGCAAGTTTCATTGTTTTAAAAACGATGATGATACATTTCAAATTACAAATCGTGTTGACATGAATAAGAGCGGGTACTACTAAATAACATGTTCGTATCGGTTTGTTTATGTTCCGAACATGGCCGACGTTCAACTCACCTTTACGCTTAACGGCCATTTTTAAGTAATATGTCAATCGCACATTAGAGTATTTGGTAAAAAATTAAACATATCCGTGATCGGTTTGCGGCACATGCTGCAAACCCTCTAAGGGGTTTGCTAGCCGCCAGTATATTCTGATTCCATGTCAGGTACTCGCGGCCATTACAGTTTTATTCTCCCAGAATGCAACAATCTGTTGTAAAAATAAAAAAAAGAACGCAAGTTCAGTGATTAGTGTTTTCTTTCAATTAAATATACATAACCTTAAATATTATTCATAATTGTTTTCTTCTTGACACACTGTACTTAAATATCTCGAGATATGTTTGCTCTATAATTACAAAATATAGTCCCTAATATTTGATGTATCCATGAACCTCGTCACTACATTATGAACAAAAATTACTCCGCCTTCGAAACGGCCGCCATCTTAATCTAGAAGCCGGACGAAAGAAGGGGGGTACCTGTTCAATCTGTCATCATCCTTTTATTCTTCATATTTTAGACACCGATTTCATATCTAACGTACTCCCCAAGCATTTGTGTGATGGCAGATACAGATAAATTGAATATAGACAGCATAATAGCTAGGTTGTTGGAAGGTAAGTCCGCTGTTTACTCGAAGGATTTCGAAATTCTCCATTGCAATCGTAATTATTTTGCCAACGAGCACTGTCAGGTTCTCGATACTAATATATAAGCATCAGTCGGATTTGTAACGCCTGTATGTATCATATCGTTTCTTTTCCGCTGTGTAAAACGACAATGTCGAATGTAATGGTTGCTTTACCAGTGCATTTATTTGCTGTCAAAATTTGCCACTCTGCGGTGACTTTGAATTCCTCTTCAACCATTGGCCTAGTGTACCATTTTTTTTACAAAGTTCTAGTTAATTTGAATGCTTGTTTCCTATTTCGAAGCAAAATAATCCGCTTGAAAAAGTTATAGAAATGAGAGTCTGATGTAATTTATCTCGAATACTGATGTCATTGTAATGTTTACATTGCAAAATGTTATCAGTCACGTCTATTCGTGTATGCGAGTCAGCGGGTACAATATAATTGATAAATCTGATGACACTTCCTAGGTAAAATGTAAAATACCTTTGTCTTTCTGGAATATGAGACATCAAAATTATTATTGATTGCACAAGAAGTAACACGGTGTTTCCATATTAAAGAGAGAATAATTTACGTTTTGCAGTTCTTAATATTCTTTTAATATAACCAAGATTCAAATATTCTTTTGATATAACCAAAACTGTATCTAACATGTCCCCAAAATATCAAACTCAATAAGATGACAGTCTTGCTACTTATTTTGGTCTGATGTTTGTGATATGCATATCTTGTGTCATTTTTACAACTATTTAAATAAAATTAACCAAAACTGTATCTAACATGTCCTCAAAATATCAAACTCAATAAGATGACAGTCTTGCTACTTATTTTGGTCTGATGTTTGTGATATGCATATCTTGTGTCATTTTTACAACTATAAATGAAATTCACTTTTGCAGTTCGTGGATCTCGACCAGGAAAAAATGTTCAGCTTACAGAATCCGAAATAAGGGGGCTGTGTTTGAAGTCCAGGGAAATTTTTCTGAGTCAACCAATTCTTTTAGAATTAGAAGCACCATTGAAGATCTGTGGTAAGCATCCTCTGAGGACGACCATTTTGTTTCTTTGAATGTTTTTAGCTCAATATCTATGGCTTTGATAATTTTTGTCCATAGCAAGTGATTAATTTGCTCAAAAACCAATTATTTTCCCTTAAACCTTAAACTTTCTTTTCAATGGACAATTTAGTGAAGTAATTTTTTTTTTAACGTTGTCCCAAAATTCTTTGATTATATAGTTTGATACTCCTTATGAACAATTCTTGTCGAGGAATTGACAAGAGACAATGATTTCTCAGTGTTTTTAATCAGTAATGGAGAAATCCTCAACCGTACAGTCGTAAGTTTTAGCGGCAGCTGTCGTTGAATTTCTAGCTAACAAAAAATGTCTTTCCAGTCGAGGAGAGAACTTCTGGCTTAATTCAACTGGAATACAAGTGCATGTACTTATTCTGAACCAAAATCATCTTAATCTCAAACATTGTTGTAAACAGTGCTCCAGATAACTTTTGAACATGTGGTTTTTTTTACCCCTTCCTCTCCAAAGTGGAGGGGTGAAAACTTCAATTTTGAACCATGAAGTGCTGTAAAAGCAACGTTACCTGAAAATGTTGAAAGACGTTGAATCATTTGTATGTGTTAAACTTTTAATATAGGGTTAAGAATGACTCAAATTCATATTTTTGTGCTGTCTAGACATGTGGTATTTTATTTCCATTTCACTGTGAACACAATCACAGTGAAATGGAAATAAAATTCCACATATCTATTAAAAAAACGGAAAATATCATAATAGGGTGTGGCATGAAACATCACAAATCGTTATCGAAGCGTGCGACCGTTTGTGGATGGAAAAAAACATTTCCCGTGGCTGACGTCACAGTCCAGACTGTTGCTCAAGCGGATGGCCAAACCTTGTTGAACTTGAAAAGTTTGTCGTGCTCCAAACACAAGACGGACAACGTTTTCACAAAGGGCTGCTCGAATGTTCAAAAAAGTGCCCTTACCCGACACGAAAAATCAAGAGTATCACTTGTCCGCTATTAAAAGTATCACAAAAGAAACTTCAATTAAAAAAAGAAACACGCTTCGTGAAACGGTCACAACATTAATGGAAGACATCGACGATGATGAAGTTACTGAGAGTAAAACAGATGACTGTGCCAATTATGTATTTAACACAATTTACTACGCAGCGAAAGAGATGAGACCAAGTGACAAATAGCGATAGTTTTAAAAGCGCCATGATCTAATTCTCGCTCATATAAGTGCGTGTAACAGGAGTACTATGCAAGCGTCTCAGTGACTCACTTGTAAGCGTATTATAACCTGCTAAATTGGTTCCGTAGACTGACGCAATGTTCCGGATTTTGCTTGCGTGAATTAAGCAAGTTCATTTTTTTCCTTTTGCGTAATTTGTGAATTATCGTGCGTGAAAACGCATTCACGCAAGCTATCTGGAGCACTCGTTGTAAATGATCGTGTGATCTATTGATATCATACTTTCTGCAATTTGAAATTATCTCTACGACACCCGCTCAGTGCATGCATGCTCTAATTAAACTAACTCAAATCCAAATATGAACAGAATTAGTTGATTAGAGGTATGATACATATACTTCTTACTATACTTCTTAGAATGCGTTATGTGTGAACTCGGACTCGTAACTTGCACAGTATTGTCGGTTAACAGCGTGGTGCTGTACATGTTTACTTCTCACTGAGAGGCCCCAGAATCGGCTATTTCTGTTGTAGCTTTTTTTATCGCAGGCTTTCCCAAAAGATGAAACTGACCACACTGAACGTTGGTGTCAGGTTGTCGCTTGACTCATAAATAGTCCCTTTAAAGCAAAAATTTGCTGCTTCCCTTACTAGAAAGTATTGTAATTTTGAAAATGGAGAAATGATGAAATTCCTCATAACTGCAATATACATTTTGCTGTCTTTCAAAATAAGGCAAACTCTGCTGTAAAAGTGAGATGGGGGGGGGAAACCTAGTAAAACAGTAGCTTCTACTAAATTGTCCTTTTCACTTTCAGGTGACATTCATGGGCAGTATTATGACCTTTTGAGACTCTTCGAGTATGGAGGATTCCCCCCGGAGAGCAACTACCTCTTCCTTGGAGACTACGTAGACAGGGGGAAGCAGTCACTGGAAACAATATGTCTCTTGCTGGCATACAAGATCAAGTATCCAGAAAACTTCTTCTTGCTCCGAGGAAACCATGAATGTGCCAGTATCAACAGAATTTATGGATTTTATGATGAATGTAAGAAATTGTGTTTTGGAATCTTATCCTTTTATTGGCCTAATAATTATGTTCACCTATTTATTTATATTACATGCTAAAACCTTGTACATTTGACAATCAGGATAAACACCTTATCAAAAAAATGTAAGATTTTAAAGAAGTTACTAAAGTGTTATTCCACTAGCATGTGTTATTGTGTCGCAGATTTTTGTCGTTTGTTAAGATTAACCATAATTATCTTAACTGTGTATTTATATCAAAATTAAAAAAATTGAACTATCTGTAGCCAATGAACATTTTTTTCACCCACAGGCAAGCGACGGTATAACATCAAGTTATGGAAAACATTTACAGATTGCTTCAACTGTTTACCTATAGCAGCCATCATTGACGAAAAGATTTTCTGCTGTCACGGAGGTAATATTGTTACTTTCATTTGTCTTGGAATATGTTTCAATTTTTTAGAGGCCCCAGCATCCATCAGAAAATGAAGATGGTAAATGGTAGACAGATCTGTATCACATCTCATGATATATTAATTCAGATGCATCCCACCTACCATATACCATTTTAATTGTGAAATAGCCCAAATGACATCTTTTCTAGGGAGTTGTCTTTAATGCAAGTCAATATTTAATCTGTTATATCGAAGAAAAAAAGAGGAATTGGTTGGGTATTAATAGAAACAGACCCTAGTTATTATGTCTCCCCTTCGAAGGTTCTGGCTATTCTAATTGCAACTTGTCCGGCCCGTCAATTTTATCCCATTAAAGATATCTTGATCAAACTTGGAAGTATAACTGCATCACCCACAGAAGGTGTGCAGTGCACTGGAATTAGGTCTGGTGCCCCGTTATATACAGAGTTATGGTCCTTTGTTTATTTTTAATACCGAAGTTTGTCCACAGCATAACTTAAATGTTCTTTCACCTACGTTGACCAACCTTGCTATAGTTATGTATCTTGGGAAGTAGGAGTGTCACATTCTAAATTCGGGGCTCATGCTGCATTATATATGCTGAAGTTTGTCTATTAGCTAATAAGGGGAGACATGTTTTTGTTCACAAAAGCAATTTTCTAGTTTTGGCTTGTAAATTTAACTGTGGGGTCGGATGATATCTGGGTTTTTTTGCTGTACTAAGATACTTGCACATCAAGCATAAGCATAGGGGCACTGATAACATGAATGATAACTTTGTATATTATGGCGCAGGAAAAAAAAGATACATCTAGTTGTCGAAAGTCACAAAAGTTTGGAAGGTTTTCAGCCCCTGCTTATATTTATTTCTGAAATTGTTCTTTGTATTTTCAGTTTGTTGCACTTGATATGACATTACATTTTTCGAGTTATTGCTTATTCCTAAAACTTTATTTTTCAAAATTTTAGGTTTGAGTCCTGATTTGCAATCCATGGAACAGATCAGAAGGATCATGAGGCCAACAGACGTACCAGATCAGGGGCTTCTCTGTGATCTATTATGGTCAGATCCTGACAAGGAGACCATGGGATGGGGAGAGAATGATAGAGGGGTGTCTTTCACATTTGGTGCAGAAGTTGTGGCCAAATTTCTACACAAACATGACTTGGATCTTATATGTCGAGCTCATCAGGTAAGAAATGTTTTTGAACTTGAAAAAGGCATCATTTTGAAGGTTAAACTTTACATGTAGCTGTTTTCCCATGTAACAAAACCACTTTTATGCATCCTGGTTATTAGGTCACCTGAGCTTTGCTCAAGTGACCTATTCCAATCACTTTACGTACGTCGTGCGTAAACTTTTTACATTATCAACTTCTCAAGAACCAGTGGATGGAATTTTTTCAAACTTAGTCAGAATCATCCTTGGTAGATGAGGCTAACAAATTGTAAAATTGGGATTCCTACCTCAACCCTAGGGGCCAGTGCGGGGCCCAAAAGGGAAAATTAACCAATATTTCAAAAATCTTCTTCTCCAGACTCAGAGGTATTACAGTCATTTTCTCTGTATGGATGGAAAGATCATCAGGGGCTTTATTTAAATTGTAAATTTCAGGACCCCCGAGCTATCCGTTCTCCCTTGGGGAGGGGGTAAAGTTTACTATAGTTTATATAGGGAAACAACACTTTTGGGTATATTTTGACAATTTTCTGTTGGAAATTATTTTTACTTGGTCAGAATCATCCTTGGAGGAGGAAGATGGTTTTAAATTGTAAAATTGGGATTCCTACCCCAACCCTAGGGGCCAGGGCGGGGCCCAAAAGGGAAAATTAACCAATATTTCAAAAATCTTCTTCTCCAGACTCAGAGGTATTACAGTCATTTTCTCTGCATGGATGGAAAGATCATCAGGGGCTTTATTTAAATTGTAAATTTCAGGACCCCCGAGCTATCCGTTCTCCCTTGGGGAGGGGGTAAAGTTTACTTTAGTTTATATAGGGAAACAACACTTTTGGGTATATTTTGACAATTTTCTGTTGGAAATTATTCTTACTTGGTGAGAATTATCCTTGAAGGAAGATGGTTTTAAATTGTAAAATTGGGATTCCTACCCCAACCCTAGGGGCCAGGGCGGGACCCCAAAGGGAACATTTACAAATATTTTGAAATTCTTATCCTTTGATGACATGACAAGTATTGTATTTCACTTAGTTTACATGCTGATTTCCACATCACATCTAAACAATAAAATAAAGCTAGCAGTACCTATGATATAACTCAGGTGACCGCTAAGGCCCTTGGGCCTCTTGTGTTTTAAAAAGATGCATGTAATAAAAGAAAATTTTTGAACATTATGCTTTTAGGTAGTAGAAGACGGATATGAGTTCTTTGCCAAACGACAGCTGGTGACATTGTTTTCTGCTCCTAACTACTGTGGGGAATTTGACAATGCTGGTGCTATGATGAGCGTGGATGAAACATTAATGTGCTCATTCCAGGTAACAGACTTTAATCATGAAGACGTCCAAATAGCAGAGCTCCTAGCTTGTGATAAAATATATTCTTATTCATTGTTTCTGTTAAATAAATTTTGCAACAGCCTGATCCTTTATGAATTGGAGAGATATTGCATTATTTGTATTGAAATTAGGAATATTACTCAGTTTTCGGTTATTTTCTGGAAATAAGGCTCTTTTTAGCTAGGAGAAACAGTCTGTATTCGGCAGTAAAACTAAGCAGAAAAACACTGTCATTGATAAGTTTTCTTAAAAATACATAGTGATGAAATGAGTGCAGATCGTTTCATGCAATTCTTTAGCAAGTTGATACTAAGCCCTGACAAATGTTCCCGAGTTTTCCTACAGAAAACTTTTTAACATTGGTTTGGCTTGCATAAACAGTTATCTTGAAATGATGTGCCGAATTTATGTAAAAACAATTTAACGAATTTGTAGTGATGGAAGATGTCCTCTTTTCTTTCAGATTTTGAAACCGGCAGACAAGAAAAAGTTCCCATATGGTGGACTCAATGCAGGGCGACCAGTAACACCACCTAGAGGTCAACCGAAGGGAAAGGCTAAAATATGATTAACACTACAGAAATCTTGTGGATAGTTAAAATTGGACACAAAATTGACGATGTTCATTCATGAATCGGTCGCAAACATTGATAGTTTGACTTCTTCAGACATTTATTGCTCTGGACATTCAACAAATGCCAGTGGATAACGTGCTTGCGTGTTGCGGCTGATGTGATTGACTGAAATGAAGGACTGCAAACCGTGCATATGTTGTCTTTAGGATGAAGTTGATCTAAAAATGTAGAATGAAGGAGCACATAACTTTTGATGATTTTTGCCATGGGAACTCCATCCTGCAGGGACAACATAATTAATTTAACCTATTGACACGTAGTATTGGTGTGTACAAGTCTTGTTACATCATTTGATGTTGTACATTTAATTTGAAAGATTCTGTTGTAAATGTAATGTAGCTCCAGCACATGACAACATGAACTGTGTTCAGAACTGGAGCTTTGGTCGAATAAGAAAACAGCTATTGTGCAACTTGGTCTGGTTTTCATAGACCTTGTTTACTGTCCCTCTAAAAATCATGAGACACTATACCCGGATTTAATCTTATACATACATCAATAAATTGTGTCAAGATCAAAATATTCATGCAACAATTGTAAGTTTGTCTTGTGCAATTTTGCATTGCTTTGTTCTGCTTTTGTAGAACAACATATTTTTTGAACAGTGTTAATGTCATATTTGATATTCAAAGTCATTAAACGGTCATACAGAAATTGTAGGATATAGATTTTGATGTGAAGAAGCATGCTGTTATACAATTGATGTCCTCCCCATTTAGTTCACCTTCCACGCTATAGTAATACAGGTGGGTTTGATTTCAAACTGCTACTAAGTCAAGTGAAAGCTAGTCCGTGTACAGCTTTAATGGGAATGGATCAGACAGAAATTTAATAACATGCTGGTACATGTTACAATCTTTTCCTGACATACTTACTGGGTCACCATTAACACGCAAATGACAAATTCTTTCTTATTGTTCAATACGTTGTGTACATATCCGTCATGGTTTGCCGACATGAGATTTTTATCTTAACTTATCTCATTTCATGTATATAATTCTGTACATTTGTATTTTTAGTTTGTCTTTGTGTTTACTAAATTGCACAAACCATAATAAATGTGGCACATCAGGGCCACCAACATAGAGTACTAAATCATTAACAAACTTAGACCATTTACACTAGAATAACAGCACATCAGTATAAACTGGTAGTAACAAAGAAAATATGGGGAACATGGGAGCCAACACAAAAATGAGGTTTTTAAGTCGCGTATATGTCTTTGTTTTTCTTAATTTATGGTATAAAAAATGTAGATGATATGTGAACTGATCAATGATCATGTAAATTTAATACATTATTTGTTGTATAGAAAAGATGATGACCGAATAAAAGATGTTTTGTAAGAATGTGTTTGTCTTATTCAGCTTCTTCAGGATAATCCTATTCTATGTGTTTATGGAAATTGCTCTTGCATGTAGGTTCATTCGTTTGGGCAGTAATATCTGGGTTCTAAGTGGAATATGGTTCTAATGTTTTAGCCTTGGAAACAATCTCCTTGCAACTATCAAAATTTATGAACAAAAAATTTGAATAGATATATACTGGAAACAGTAATTTAAAAAACATTTCAGATTATATTAGTATTTCTTGGTTTACAAGATGAACCCAAAATAAAGAGGATGCGTAAAAAAATAAAGGTGGTGTAAGCTTGTCAAAGAGTTATGTCCCTTGTCAATCATTGGTTGAAGCTTTCTGAATGAAGGCGTAAATACGTATAGGTATTTTTCCAAATTATATTCATAACATTTAGTTCCTGGTTAGCTGCTATTTCCCTATAATTGAAATCCAGGAAAGTGATTTTCATACGCCCATCAACAAATTTATGATGTATATATTGGTATAGTGAGTGTCTTTGTCAGTCAACACTGGTTTGCACAGGACAAATTGCTAAAAATAAATCAATTTTTGTGAAGCTTGGTATATTATATGAAGACGGGGCTAAATTCGAAGTTGAGCGAAATCTACTCATACTGTGCTCTTGATTTGCTGACGGTTTCTACACACAAAAAAACTTTGTCAAATGTGACCGGATTTTGATTAAACTTTGTCAATGATTATATTACACAATGACAAAGGCTGAGCTTAAATGTGAGTAAAACATGTCCATAATTGGATGCCGCTTTCTGATGGGCTAAAAAAGGGTGTTTTCTCCTTTCATCACATTTCAGAAATTGTTCCAAATTTCAACGAGTAATATAGTACAATTAAATTCATTCCTTCTCGACATTTCCATTTACATACAACAATGCACCGGAAGGATTTAAATATGTCGGATTGGCATGGGACGGGCGTATATAGTTCCTCCCTGCGGTACTCTTGTTCCTTTCGGAACTTAATTAGAGAATACACACATAATCAACCAAATCTGGTGATAATTCTGTTGGAACGCGCAACCCAGTCGGGTGGTTCTTAAGTTATATATACAACCCAGTAAGGTCGTTCTTCGGTTGAAACGTGCAACCAAGTCTGACGATCTTCAGTTATGACTCGCGACCAAATCTGGTGATTCTTCTGATGCACAAGCCAGATGAATGGTTCTTCAGGCACAATCCAATCGGGTGCCTCTTTAGGTAAAATAACGCACAACCAATTTGTTTGCATATTGAGTTATAAAACACAACCCAGTCGGATGGTTGTTCCTCAGGTATAATTTACGCACAACCCATGTAGTCCATTGCTTCTTCCATTTTAACCCCCGTCCAGTCGGAAGCTCCTTCATCTATAACGCACACCCCAGTCGGGAGCTCCTTCAGCTATGACGTACCCCCCAGTCGGGAGCTCCTTCAGCTATAACGCACACCCCAGTCGGGAGCTCCTTTAGCTATAACGCACCACCCAGTCGGGAGCTCCTTCAGCTATAACGCACACCCCAGTCGGGAGCTCCTTCAGCTATGACGTACCCCCCAGTCGGGAGCTCCTTCAGCTATAACGCACGACCCCAGTCGGGAGCTCCTTCAGTTATAACGCACGACCTAGGCGGGTGTTCCTTCAGCTATAACGCACAACCCAGTCTGGAGCTCCTTCAGCTATAACGCACAACCAAGTCGGGAGCTCCTTCAGCTATAACGCACGACTCCAGTCGGGAGCTCCTTCAGTTATAACGCACGACCTAGGCGGGTGTTCCTTCAGCTATAACGCACAACCCAGTCTGGAGCTCCTTCAGCTGTAACGCACGACCCAGTCGGGAACTCTTTCAGCTATAACGTACACCCCAGTCGGGAGCTCCTTTAGCTATAACGCACCACCCAGTCGGGAGCTCCTTCAGCTATAACGCACACCCCAGTCGGGAGCTCCTTTAGCTATAACGCACGACCTAGTCGGGAGCTCCTTCAGTTATAACGTACACCCCAGTCGGGAGCTCCTTCAGCTATAACGCCCACCCCAGTCGGGAGCTCCTTCAGCTATAACGCCCACCCCAGTCGGGAGCTCCTTCAGCTATAACGCACACCCCAGTCGGGAGCTCCTTTAGCTATAACGCACAACCCAGTCTGGAGCTCCTTCAGCTATAACGCACCAGTCTGGAGCTCCTTCAGCTATAACGCACAACCAAGTCTGGAGCTCCTTCAGCTATAACGCACGACTCCAGTCGGGAGCTCCTTCAGTTATAACGCACGACCTAGTCGGGTGTTCCTTCAGCTATAACGCACAACCCAGTCTGGAGCTCCTTCAGCTATAACGCACGACTCCAGTCGGGAGCTCCTTCAGTTATAACGCACGACCTAGTCGGGTGTTCCTTCAGCTATAACGCACACCCCAGTCGGGAGCTCCTTCAGCTATAACGCACGCCCTAGTCGGGAGCTCCTTCAGCTATAACGTACACCCCAGTCGGGAACTCCTTCAGCTATAACGTACACCCCAGTCGGGAACTCCTTCATCTATAACGCACGACCCAGTCGGAAGCTCCTTCAGCTATAACGCACGACCTAGTCGGGAGCTCCTTCAGCTATAACGCACGACCTAGTCGGGAGCTCCTTCAGCTATAACGTACACCCCAGTCGGGAGCTCCTTCATCTATAACGCACGACCTAGTCGGGAGCTCCTTCAGCTATAACGCACGACCTAGTCGGGAGCTCCTTCAGTTATAACGTACACCCCAGTCGGGAGCTCCTTCATCTATAACGCACGACCTAGTCGGGAGCTCCTTCAGCTATAACGCACGACCTAGTCGGGAGCTCCTTCAGTTATAACGTACACCCCAGTCGGGAGCTCCTTCATCTATAACGCACGACCTAGTCGGGAGCTCCTTCAGCTATAACGCACGACCTAGTCGGGAGCTCCTTCAGTTATAACGTACACCCCAGTCGGGAGCTCCTTCATCTATAACGCACACCCCAGTCGGGAGCTCCTTCATCTATAACGCACGACCTAGTCGGGAGCTCCTTCAGCTATAACGCACGACATAGTCGGGAGCTCCTTCAGTTATAACGTACACCCCAGTCGGGAGCTCCTTCAGCTATAACGCACACCCCAGTCGGGAGTTCCTTCAGCTGTAACGCACGACCTAGTCGGGAGCTCCTTCAGCTATAACGCACGACCTAGTCGGGAGCTCCTTCAGCTATAACGTACACCCCAGTCGGGAGCTCCTTCAGCTATAACGCACACCCCAGTCGGGAGCTCCTTCAGCTGTAACGCACGACCTAGTCGGGAGCTCCTTCAGCTATAACGCACGACCCAGTCGGGTGTTCCTTCATCTATAACGCATAACCCAGTCTGGAGCTCCTTCAGCTATAACGCACACCCCAGTCGGGAGCTCCTTCAGCTGTAACGCACGACCTAGTCGGGAGCTCCTTCAGCTGTAACGCACGACCCAGTCGAGTTCCTTCAGTTATAACGCACGACCCAGTCGGATGCTCCTTCTGTTATAACGCACGACCTAGTCGGGAGTTCCTTCAGTTTTAACGTACACCCCAGTCGGGAGCTCCTTCAGCTATAACGCACAACCCATGTAGTCCATTGCTTCTTCCATTATAACCCCCGTCCAGTCAGGAGCTCCTTCAGTTATAACGCACGACCCAGTCTGGAGCTCCTTCAGCTGTAACGCACGACATAGTCGGGAGCTCCTTCAGCTATAACGTACACCCCAGTCGGAAACTCCTTCATCTATAACGTACCCCCCAGTCGGGAGCTCCTTTAGCTATAACGCACGACCTAGTTTGGAGTTCCTTCAGTTATAACGTACACCCCAGTCGGGAGCTCCTTCAGGTATAACGCACACCCCAGTCGGGAGCTCCTTCAGCTATAACGCACGACCCAGTCGGGTGTTCCTTCATCTATAACGCACAACCCAGTCTGGAGCTCCTTCAGCTATAACGCACACCCCAGTCGGGTGTTCCTTCAGTTATAACGCACGACCCAGTCGGATGCTCCTTCTGTTATAACGCACGACCCCGTCAGATGCTCCTTCAGTTATAACGCACGACCCAGTCGGATGCTCCTTCTGTTATAACGCACGACCTATTCGGATGTTCCTTCTGTTATAACATACCCCAGTCGGGTGTTCCTTCAGTTATAACGCACGACCCAGTCGGATGCTCCTTCTGTTATAACGCACGACCCAGTCGGATGTTCCTTCTGTTATAACATACCCCAGTCGGGTGTTCCTTCAGTTATAACGCACGACCCAGTCGGATGCTCCTTCTGTTATAACGCACGACCCCGTCAGATGCTCCTTCAGTTATAACGCACGACCCAGTCGGATGCTCCTTCTGTTATAACGCACGACCTATTCGGATGTTCCTTCTGTTATAACATACCCCAGTCGGGTGTTCCTTCAGTTATAACGCACGACCCAGTCGGATGCTCCTTCTGTTATAACGCACGACCCCGTCAGATGCTCCTTCAGTTATAACGCACGACCCAGTCGGATGCTCCTTCTGTTATAACGCACGACCCAGTCGGATGTTCCTTCTGTTATAACGCACGACCCCGTCAGATGCTCCTTCAGCTGTAACGCACGACCCCAGTCGGATGCTCCTTCTGTTATAACGCACGACCCAGTCGGGTGTTCCTTCATCTATAACGCACAACCCAGTCTGGAGCTCCTTCAGCTGTAACGCACACCCCAGTCGGGAGCTCCTTCAGCTATAACGCACGACCCAGTCGGGAGCTCCTTCATCTATAACGCACAACCCAGTCTGGAGCTCCTTCAGCTATAACGCACACCCCAGTCGGGTGTTCCTTCAGTTGTAACGCGCGACCCAGTCGGATGCTCCTTCTGTTATAACGCACGACCCCGTCAGATGCTCCTTCAGTTATAACGCACGGCCCAGTCGGATGCTCCTTCAGTTATAACGCACGACCTATTCGGATGCTTCTGTTATAACGCACGACCCAGTCAGGCGCATCCTC